TGATTTTCATTCCATTTCCTGTTTTCTCGGCCAATTGGCTTGCACTAACTCCTTGACTTACAAATACACAGATCCCAAATCTCTCCAGGGCCACCTCCTCCTTCACCGCACCACCTTCTCCCTCGGTGCTCACCACCCCACAACCATGACACTTCTCCCCACCACCCGACCACTACCCCCATTAACTACCGCCCCCTCTCCATCTCCTAGTCCCTCACCTCAAGAAGATACTCCCTCTCCTTCTCAACCACTCCTTCTCACTTCTCGCACCGGCACACTCGCTCTTCTCTCACCTTTAACAGAATCCCAATACCGACGCTTCGGCACCCTCGTTTCACATCTTACAAACACCCTCTATCATCCCTGCGGTCTCAATCCCAGAGCATACCGAATAGACAGAGATGCAAATGAGGGGATTGTAGGAGGAAGAACTATTATTGATGGAGGAGTGCTAGGAAGATGGATGGAACTTGGGAGTCAGAGGAGAGGAGAAGTAGCTGGAAGGGTAGGAGTTGATGTTTTGGAGTTGAGGGACGAGTTGAGTGGATTACGTGGAGGCTTGAGCTTCATCTAGAGGAGATTATATGTAGAGGTGTGGGTAGTAGTTGGCGGTTAGAAAATGATATGATTTACTGCATCGCACAATCGGGGTTTAAAAAGCGCTGATTGTACAAAATAGGGGCAAGCGAGCGAACCCCAATTCAATACTAGTTTATCTTTCTTATCCCAAATTCAGTTATCAGATTGCATCGCATTTTCACTTCAAAGACGCCCGACTCAATAATTCAAAATAGTAGGATTGTACTAGGTTTGTTTCGTTTAGCCAGACCCGTTATTATTAAAGCCACACGGTGAGCTTTCCTAGGTTATAGTTCAAGTGAAGGGCATAATATGAATCAAAAGGGGTTGCTATCACAATAATTTCCTCTTTTCTGAAAGAAAAAAAAAATACGCGCATGTCAAGTCAAAACTTCAAAATCGCAAATCAATTATATGAGTCTAATTAGAATAGTTGTATAGATTCTGACTGGTTCCATTTAGGAGTAGTCTACCCTTCATAGCTCCAGTCAGAATGAAAGCGCAAGAAAGAAAGAAAGGAAGAAAGGAATTACAACATCATGCAATCAATCCAAGTATTCAAATCTGGGGATCGATGCTTCTCTCCTCCTCCTCCAACAACAAGAAAACAACAACCACAGCACCTAGGACATCACAACACCAACACGAACAACACTCTCTCCTTCATATTCACTCATCACTCCCCCTTAAAAGCATCCTCATAATCTTCCCGATACCTCTGACTCTTGATTTTTCGATCCATATCCCGTGCTTTGCGAGCCTGTTTGCGGATCTCCCGAGTATTTTCTCCTCTGGTTACTCTGGCCATGTGTTTAACCTCTCTAGAAACGAACGCGCGGGTAGCTTCGCGAGCGCTGAGTTTTCTGGTGCGGGGAGAGTATTGGGGGGGAAGAGGAGAGAGACTTTGGACGAGAGATTGGGCGGCGCGTATTTGAGACATTTTGGGTGGAAGGGGATGAAGACTTTTGGTTGTTGTTTTTGATTATTATGCTTTGAAGGTCAAATCTGGAGGAGAAAAATTCAGGAGTAGGCTGCTATACTTCAATGGTTTGGAGAATTTGGAAGGTTGTTTAGTTGTGAATGTGATTGTAATTGATGAAACTGGGTAATAGAGAAGCAAATATTAGGTAGGTTTATATACTCCCCTCGAGCAGTTGTTCAGGATCTGAACTCCATAATGGAACAATACCACAACAGATACAATATGATTCAAGGAAGACAAATTCAAAGGTTCTCAGACGAAGAAGTTCGAGGCCGAGATAGCCAGTAGCAAAAAATGGGAGTTCTTTGTAATTCCAAGTTCGTGTTTGACCCAGGGGTACCGAGCTTCCAGGTATTACGCCACAATTACCACAGCACAAAGATATTCCAATTATGAACAACGCTGCAACAGAAAAAGAATGATGCGAGAAACATGTTTCGAAATAAACAATGGCATTTTTGAAAGGAGTGGGAAGATTTGATCGAGGTTTGTCTGAGCAGGTAATTTTGAGCTTCGAGATTTTCAGGAGGTCTCGGAGGTTCCCTCTCGAATCCAAACCATACACGTTCCGTTCTTCAGTCGGACAATGAGAATAGAAGAGCATGGAACTTCAGAGACATGCATTTGGTGTACCTACAGTATCGCACCCATAGCCTCCAATCCATCTATATCCCATTCCCCACCCAAATCCATCCAAAAATTCTGCTCATCAAATCCATCCCAAGAGCTCATATCCATATCACCCAACACTGGCAATGCATCTGAGCTCGCCTGTTCATTTACCACACCCCCCAATCCAGTATCAACCTGCGTCAACGTGGCCCCTTCAATAACATCCTCGTTCCCACCACGACTACCCTCCACCGCGTTCCTATCGACTCTGAACCCATCCCCCAACGGCTGCGACTGCGCCGAATTCCCATAAGCCGCAACCTTCTGATCATACCACCCCTTCACTAAACGAATCTTCCTCGCAAACTTGTCGAAACAATCTGTCCAGCCCTCTCCTACCCTTCTTCCATCACTGCCCACCTCTGCGTCTTTCCCCCATTCTCCATCTTCGGTAGTGATGTTAATATCTACAAATTTCGCTTTATCGTTACGCTCTGCTAGCTCTTTCAACACCCAGGAGAGATCGCAGACTTCGCGGACGAAATTGAGGGTCCAGGAGGGAAGAAGTGGATTTTGGTAAAAGGACAGACGGGCGAGAACCATGAGGGCATAGGCGAGGAGGGACCATGGGGCAATAGGTTGACTTAGATAGGTGGACGGAGGAACAGAGAGAATTAAGTGGACGAAAGAGCGTGTGTGGTGGAGACAGGTGTAGAGAGATTGGAGGTGAGACGGATGTAAAGGCGGTGGGTGAATTGTTCGGGTTGCTGAAATAGATTGAGGTGATTGCGTTGCGTTTGTGGATATCCAGCCATTAGTCAACGCGACTTCATAGAGACGGATGGTAGAAATGTGATGGTGAAGCTGTAGGATTACTGATTGTATGTATTAGTTCCTTAATTACAAGAGCCATTTAAGTGAGGAAGCCTAAGTGAAATACATGATTTCAACTTATAAAAAAAGAATGAATTGAAACACGTACCATCATCTTGTAGAGCACTAGGAACACCCTTCTTCAACACATCTAGCTCCATCTGAAATGAACCCAACTTCAATGCAGTAGGGACTTGAATTTCACCATCATTCTGAACAAGTAAGACCGCTTGCCCAATCTTTTCTCCAAGATGCGATATCTTCACTAACTCAACTAGTAAGAGATCTGTAGTATGTTCTGGTTTCTTCTCTATGAAACGAACACATTCATCAAGATGTATGGAATATCTCATAGCATCTATGCGCTGAAAGCCCGTTGCAACTCTAGACGTAAATTAGCAGTATGTATTGAAATGGAATAGAATAAATTCTGAAGCTTACAAAGAAGTTAGATAGAATAAACCAGCCAAAGCCCTTCTCTGCTCCATGGTTCTTCTTGAGAAATCTCCCGCTGTGGCTCTACTGTGGCCAAATGGATACCTGAATCTATCGGCTGATGGTGGTTTATTCAGTCCCAAGTCCCCAGCAAGCCCCATTGCTAAGCCTATGAGATTGTTCAAGTGAGGATGGCCTAAACAATGGTAATGATACCTAATCATTTGTATCTGTCAGTAAACTACCTTTTCTAAAACAAATTATGCCACTTCTAGCCTCCAAGTCTCTGAACTCGAGCTTCTTTGGTATCCAATAGACGTCTTATTCGTTCAGACAGCAACCGAAATTGCACTTCTTGCCCACCTGCCCAACAAGAGCGTTACAGAAACGAAAGAAAAAAACACACTACTCACCACCCACAAAAAACCAAAATCGTCTGCAACAACTCCAAAGTCTTTTCCCTCCTCACCATAATCCTCTCCGTCAAATCCCTCACCAACGCCGTCTCATAAACCGTCTGCCTCGGTAAATTATAATAACTCGCCGCCATCAAAACCGCCTTTCCCAGCACCGGTTTGCTCGCCACCCATTGCTTCCCGGTCAATCCTCCCGTTTCAATAACCACAAAGGGAAATTTCGCCGTCATTTCCATCTGGTATAATCTTACCAGCCTCTCGATCTCCTTATCGTTGGGCTCGAGATCCGAGTTGGCGTGGGCGAGAAGACAGGCATTTGTGCTTTTTTCATAGACGGATTGCCTTTTACTCGGTTCGAGAGGTTTAGGGATGACATGGGAAGTATTTCTGTTAGGAATTGGATTTGCCGCTTCTGGTTTGAGGAGGGGTGGTGATCTGGGGAGGATGTTTTCATTGGTGACTAGTGGAGAGAATGTCGGCGTTGCATCTTGGGAATGAACGCCTTGTTGTTGCTGTTGCAGGAGATCCACAATTCCATCAAGTTTCTTCTCTAATTGTGCAACTCGACTAGAATCGACATCAGAAGTGTGATAAATTTTTGTGGAGAGAACAATCCATACGTAGTCTTTTGAGGCTTGTGAGTCCTTATAGAAGGAGTTTGTGTCACACAATCTTTCTTTAGACGATGACATCTATTATGATTAGTAAATAGCCTAGTATAATAGCCACGAAAACTTCAGTCATATGTAGGTACCTTTCACATTTCGCACTTAATCCTCCCGGTCGTGGTACACATTTTGCTTTTGCCAATGCGCAAGTCCTGCATGCCCGGGAGCTGAGGTGACTCTTTCCCATATGATTGGTTGTTGACATCACGTATTTCTAAATTCGATTTTCATATATCGAGAATATTACCTCAATGTTAAACGGAGAGGAAATGGTAATCCCAACCCGTCGCCGTTGGGGATTTATCTTTCAGAGGTTGGACGCTGTGGGGCGGGACCGGAGCAAAGTCGTCTCCCCGCTCCCGGTCCACGAATCATGTCATACACCCCTCACAGGCATAACATCCAATACATCAAGAACAATGGGGACAAGAGGAGTAAAAAAAACAATATATTATATTTTGAAAGACCGCGCATGGACTATAACGCGATAAACACAAAATCTTGAGTTGATTTAGCCTATCTAGAGTTCGCATTAAAACTTTCAATGCTCGACGAAAAGTAAGAGCAGAGGGTATGCAACTTCGGTCGCGTAAAAAAATTCATCAACGCCTGGTCCCGCAACCCTCCTCCAGATCCCCCAATCGAAACGAACATCCCCATGATTCTCATACTCGATGTATTAAAGTGAAGTATGGAAGGCGGCTCTGAGAGAAGAACATCATCAAGCCAAATGGCATAACGCTATTCAGAATTGGACTAGCTCATATGAACGTTAAAAGTCAAAAATGAGCCCGTATATGAATGTCGGGTAAGTTTTTAAAGTCGTATCGGATGGAGTGAAATCATGTAGTAGGAGCTGGGGTACCACGTGCAGCCGCCTCATCAGCACGAATAGGTGCAAAGAAAGGATGGGCCATGGCTTCCTTAGCAGTCAAACGTTCCTAAATCACATGTCAGTATATGTAAGACGAGGCTTGATAACGGTAGGCATACTTGGTGATCATATCGGAGAAGTTTGTCTAAGAAGTCGATAGCTTCATTAGTAACAAATCGTTGGTTCTCAGCGTTGACAAAGCTGTGCCAGTTCTTCTTTGGGAATCTGCCTAGAATATCGTCATATTGTGCGTCAAGCTCAATCTCGTATTTGTCGAGGTAGTCGAATAAATCTTCAGTGCCGAGAACTTTAGCAATTTTGACTAATTGATCCGAGTTGCTATTTCCGTGGAAGAATGGTTCCTTTCTGAAAATCATCGAAGCGAACATGGCACCTAAAGACCACATATCCAAGGAGTAGTCATATTCCTGGAAGTCAACAAGCAATTCAGGTCCCTTGAAATATCTTGATGCGACTCGGACGTTGTACTCGGTGCCTTGATGATAGAATTCCGCAAGACCCCAATCGATAAGTCTCAACTAATCCTACAAGTCAGTCAAGGTAATCTTCCAGCTATTGAGAATCCTACCTTTCTGTTCTCATGATCAATCATCACGTTATGAGGCTTGACATCTCTGTGCATAATGCCTTTGCTGTGACAAAAGTCCAATGCCTATCGACGTTAGAAACTTCAAGGATTTCTGAAAATTGGGATATCATACCTTCAAGAGCTCATAAATATAAAATCGGACATCGTAATCGATAAACTTAGGGTAAAGGCTACGGAAGTCGGTGTTGTTGACGAATTCGAAAATCAACGAAGGTGTTTTGCTCTGCATCATGAATGAGTCGTCTGTTTCTTCTTCAAGGGGTTGTTCAAGGCCAGTGAGCGCGCATTTGCCCGTCTTCCCAACTAGGGAAAAAGGTTCGCCTGGGAGAGAAGGAAAAGTTGGATTTACTTGACTATCCCTAACAACGTCAAGGAGGGCGACAATATTTGGGCCTCCTGACAAGTTCTGTAGGATCTTGATCTCTCTCTTGATCTTCTTCTTCTTGACCGGCTTCAACACCTTAATCACACATTTTTGGTAGTTGGCCACATTGATTCCCTCAAAGACTTCCGAATACTTTCCTCGTCCTACATGGACACACATCCGCGTGTCAGTAAGCAGCACACACATAGCCACGAGCGGGTAAAAGCAAAACAACTCTTGGGGAAGGAGGTATTGCCGACTTACCAATCTTGCGCACAACTTCATAGTTCTCCAATACGCCCCAGGTAATATTTACACTATCATAATCCCAATATGCCCGTGGCATCTGCTGGTTGACATCCGCATAGACGCGAGCCATTTTGCGGCCGGCCTAGTATGGGAAGGCGGCGCCGCGCAAATCGTGTAGAGACCGCCTTTTCGAAAATATCGAGATCTGGAGTGAGTCGCCGATTGATAAGAACCTGATTGTTCGACCGGATGGTTCTGGCAAAGATTCGCAGGATGACCTTGTACGATGTTGTAGAAAATAATGATCTGATGTTGATGTGCTACGAATTCTTGATGGATGGTAAACACACCCCGCGCTAGCGCAGGAGTTATTTTCGATCTGGTGGCCTTAAATAAAAGGTTACCGACAGCCTTTTCAAAAGTTGGCCAAGGCTGAATGACGAATAATAATTTTTGTTATCAAGCTTCATCTTTCGCGATTATATAGTACACCTTTTTCCCATCGCAAAGAAATCTATCGGAGGATTATCAATGCAAAGGCATATCAAACAACAGAACTAACGCGAATATGCTCTACGATCTCAATATTCCTTGGTCATCAAGTAAAGACCCTCTTGATCTCCAAAGGACAATCTCATTTCTTTCAGAATTAGGCTACGGCACCATAGCTCTTAATCATATCCAAACTGGACCGCTTCCTTCCACTATAACAAACCCAATACCTACGAAATTCCCTTTCACAGTGCCTCCCAAAACAGTCATTCTCCGCCGTTGCACCCTCACTCTCTCCGATCCCTCCCTCAACCACCGTCTCTCAGCTATTTCATCCGCCTACGATATTGTCGCAGTTCGCCCTACCACAGAAAAGGCTTTTCTCGCAGCATGTCTTAATCTAGCTGAGCACTCTCTCATATCCCTTGATCTCACACAACGATATCCATTTCACTTCAAACCTAAGCCTCTCATGGCTGCTGTACATCGTGGCATTAGATTTGAGATATGTTACGCGCAAGCTACGATGGAAGATTCAAATGCGCGCAAAAACTTTATAAGTAATTGTCTGGGCATATTCAGAGCTACGAGGGGAAGAGGGATTGTGATAAGTAGTGAAGCCAAGACTGCATTGGGTATCAGAGGCCCAGCAGATGTAGTCAATTTGATGGCAGTATGGGGATTGGGTAGAGAAAGAGGCATGGAAGGATTGGGCGACAATCCAAGATCGGTGGTTATAAATGAGGGACTAAAAAGAAGTTCTTACAGAGGATTGGTGGATGTGGTTTATGGTGGTGAACGGAGCGTTGCGAAGGACACCGAAATCAGCGAGGCACAGAAGACTAAAGTAAATAATGGGGAAAAGGGAAAGGGAAAAAGGAAAGCCGATGATAATAAGGAGGTGAAGGAGAACGAGCAACCCCAGATAAGTAAGAGACAGGCAAAGAAACAGAGGATGGAAGCCTTGAAAGCCGCCGACTCCAATTCGAGCTCATCGAAGGAAACAACTCCTACAGCTCCTGCAATCATAGATACTAATAATACAATAAAAGCGAAAGCTAATAGTTGATTTTAATATTTATTTGCTATTTTTTTCCCTTGTGGCGTCATTTTTTGAACGTATATTTACAACGAATTTGGTATCTTTCGGGAGTATAGCCCTACACAATCTAATATTACTTCTCTTTTAAACCCATTTCATTACTATTCGAGCATCAAGCTCTGATCTCAGACCGCTGTCGCCACAGCAAGATTACCAAGGACTAAACTGCTGGACAAGGAGAATGTGTTGATATCCACAGGATTTGGCTGTGCGACTTGTGCAGCTCCCAGTGCAGGAGCTGGTGATCCTCCAGCTTGTATCGCAGCTGATGTGGTGACACTCGCGACTGTAGCTCCTTGAATAGCAGCTTCAGTTAAGGATGTGCTAATTGATGCTGCTGTTGTAGCACCTTGCATTGGAACTTTGATATCGGGTTAGTTCCATGGAAGATATCTTAAATGTGGATTCAACATACCTGATACCATGACGGTAGTTGTTTGCATCATAGTCATAGTAACCATAGATGTTACCACTGACATTTGCGTAGCCATCATAGTTACCATTACTTGCTCAGTCTCGGTGACTGTTTGGGTAACCATTTGAGGTAGTGGAGTGACAGTAACGGTAGGCGGAGCTCCTGAAGCGAAGACAGTCGAAGTGAGGAAAGAGAATTGGCCACTGGAATTGTTAGTTTTCGACTAGTTTCTGAAAGACTGATTTTCATACCCAGTTCCGGCAGCTTGTACTGCAGCTCCTGTTGGCGCCGCTGCTCCCTGAGCAATCTTTGTGACAGTCATTGTCTTTGTGATTTCCTTTGTCACCGCGGGTGCTGCGCTCGCTTTCCCCCCTCCTTCGAGAGCGGCAATGATATCACTTAAACCTCTAGCTTCATACCGATATCCCTAGATTATCGTCAGCCACCATAGACAACATGAACCACCTCTCAAACCATACCTGTGCAAGACCTGCCGCCCCCACTGCCACTAATAGCGATGCTCTTATAAAGCTCTTCATCCTCCTCTCCAATATTGCCGTTATATAATGTAATTTGGTATCCTGCCCTTCGATGTTTGAATTTAGGTATTAATGAATGTACTCAACAGCCCAGCCGTTGTATGAAGCAAAGAATATGAAAAGTAATGAGTGAGCGTGACCTGCAGCTGCAGAATTACAATTGATTAGATGACAAGAGATTTAAAAGAGAGTGCTCAGATGATAAGTGATTCAATGAGGGAACTGGAAACAGATATGCACACGATCCTCAAGCCGTGCATCAATGAGCCTTGGCGCTATGATTGAGAGTTGAAGCACTGCAGTGCGTAGTCCTAGATGTAGATCCCCGACGCCCATGGGAGAATCATGGACGGATGAATATGGGATCGTGGCGCCATCAAATCTACGAACCGCCAGGGGTATATGATTCAATTTTTATATGAATAGGGAAGCTTTGCCAACACTCACAGTGGCACACTGGAGTCAGACATGACAAAATGATTGATTCGATCAGGTAAAAACGGAAAGAGTTCAAGGGTCCCGGCGGTACGATTGAGTGAAAGAAACTCGACGCATAACATAAACAGCAGGGAAATCCAGTAAGGATACGAGACTAGTGCAAAAGCACACTTTGCAAGTGGTGGCTTGAAATACTTTTGATAGAATTTTTGCCTAGGATGTAAGAGATGCAAGAATCTCAAACGTCAGAGAGTTTTTGAAAGTACACCTGGTATGGGGAAAACGAATCCCAGACGTGTGGGGTTTCAGACTAGCTTGGCGGCGTGAGAATTCCCAAACCGTTGTACAAATTGTAAGCTCCAAGTATGTCGTCCAATGAGGATTATGAATCCTGGGATGGCAAACAAGCTTTGTGCAGACTCCATCGGGTTTCCTTGGGTGTATAAGGTATAGTGGAAGTGGAATCAATGAATTTGAATGGAGTGCGCGACGATGTTAGGGAGGATTACGTTGAAATGTTTGACCCCCATCAGAAACTCGAAATTCGCAACGAGAACCTTTATTGCTGTTGTCCTATCGGATCTCGGATCTAAAGAGTTTTGTGATGGAATATGTTTAACGACGACTTGGATGTGTAGATCAGCTTTATATACCTATCTGTGGATATCACATGCAGATTGTGGTATCTTGTGGAAGCAATTCCCATACGAAGTTGTTTCTTACTATGAGACGCAACAAATTTGGAAGATTAGAAGGATGGAAGACGATTAGAAATATAAGATATATTAAATAGAAATATAAGATATATTAAATAGAAATATAAGATATATTAAACCCAGGATATGTAGGTCCACGGGTATGTTCATCAATCCTAAGAATGATCAAACCATCAGCCTTGCATAGATTACCTAGTATAAATGCTAGTGCCGAGCATACTGACACGTGACAAAGTAGAAAATTCCAGACGCCGGGACTCGGGTAGCAAATGAAGCTTAAAAGTCAATAGAGAGGATCGGGCGTATTAACTTCCGACTTCTATCTACAATGCTGTACTCCGTGTCCGTACCTACCAGCTAGCAATCTACATTGGACTCTGATTATTATAATGATACTCCAGCTAGCCGAGCTAGCCTCGATTGATATGTAAAATTTGATTATTGATTAATAATCAGAAGAGACTACCCAGTACCCATCTAGATAGAATACGTCACGATCTAGCGAAGATTTATCACCAAGTACCAAGCCAGAAATGTCGATTTCACAGATGTTTCAACGATGAAGGGGAGAGGAGGAAGAACCGCAACGGAGTTTCGTGGGTGTCCGAAGTGCATTTACATTTCTCTATCTATCTCCAAACCAAACATTTTTAAGCCACATCGGTCATTTCATCCTCTTTGATGCGGTGCCTTTGTGACTATTACACTCCAGTATCAATTTAACAATACCAAGACCGGTACTAGGAGGTAATTTCTACTACAAGTTGACTCGATTACACGAACGGCAAGTTCTAAGAGCTAGGCTAGGCTGACATCAAGCTCCCTCAACACGGCAAGAAGTAGTGCCTTGTCATCCCAAGATCCCATCATATTTACTTTTCTTCCCCCTCCAGTGCTCTGCTTCGAGACATTTCCACCACGTCGAACCATTGTGAAGGACCATAACCACCATCGCATTTAGACACGTTCAACTGTATATCGCAGATATGACCGTCGTCCATGTATTAGATGATTACTACCTCGCAATAACGTTCTTGATTACAGTTGCGTATCAATTGTTCTTCTTCGCAATTGCATTTTCTCTCAAATTTGATAAACTTACAGGTCAGACCAAGCCTATTTTTCTCGAAATATACTCGATAGCTGCTAATATTAATTTCAGATTTTGCTGGAGGAACAAATTTCGTTGTACTTGCCATCATAACGCTTGCATTCAGTGGCCATCACCATGCACGTCAAATCGTTGCCTCTATTTTTATCATGGTATGGGGAGCACGCCTATCAGCTTTCCTATTATTCCGGATCCTGAAAACCGGAAAAGATGATAGATTCGATGATAAGCGTGACAATTTCTTCAAATTTCTTGGCTTTTGGGTATTCCAAATGTTCTGGGTTTGGGTTGTCTCTTTCCCGGTCACCATATTGAATTCCCCAAAAGTCACGAGATTCCCACAGCCTGCTTTCGGCACCGCTAGTGATATCGCGGGAGTCATTCTCTACGCAATTGGGATTATCATGGAGAGTGTGAGCGATATTCAGAAATATCTTTTCAAAGTCAACAATAGCGACAAGTCGAAAATCTGCGACAAGGGTTTCTTCTCATGGAGTCGTCATCCAAATTATTTTGGGGAGATCATCATTCAGTTTGGTAGGCCATCTCATCTAACTACACATTTCTCTCGCTAATGAATCGCAGCTATCTATATGATTGCAGTCTCACCTGCCGCCGAAGGCTATGTTCATGGTGGAGCCCGTTCCGCTCTCTATGCTTCAATTCTCGGTGCAATCTTCCTCACTACCCTACTCATGTTTGTATCCGGTTTGACACTCCAAGAAAGACCTGGTGCAAAGAAACGATACGAGAAGGACAATCACTGGGAGGAATACTCTCGATATCTAAACCGAACGAGCATTCTCATCCCTTTCCCACCCCAAATCTATGAGAAACTCCCTACGATATTGAAAAGGACAATTTTCTTGGAATTTCCCATCTATGTATTCGATCCAGCAAAGCATTCTGATGTCGGAAGAGGTCAGCATGGTGCAGAGGAAGGTCGTCAATCGCATGGACGAGATCGACAAAGTACTGATGCTTTGGCTCATTGAGATAAGCCATGCATAATGTTGCCACATAACCTCCGCTGTTGTGAACTCAAACATGGAAATCTACAATGGCGAAGCTTTTGTCGTTTCTTTAATCAACTCTCGTCCAGAAATGTCCTCTTGTTTCATCCAGTCTGATATCTATGTCACAGCAAAGCTCGCGTTCAGTTTACCAGCGCGATTTATTTGATAACCATGTATATATATACAGTAGCTAATGATATCTAACCTCATGAATATTTAATAAGACAAAAATCATTTACCAAGAGACCAAAAAGCGCGACACGAACACGAAATTATAGGCAGGTCGTCATGTGACGATGACTCAACCGAAAACAAGCAGGGAGTCATCTCATCTGTGCATGCATCTCTCATCTGCCAAATTTCCCAAATTGTGTCAAACAATACCTCATATATTCTAAGCACTTTATTTTCTTTTTCCTATTCATTCTTTCTCGATGATTCTTCAGCTCGGAGGAGATCAAAATATCTTATATCGGTAGCAATCTTTGCAATTGAATCTCACCTCCTCCTCCGTATACCTATCTATCTATTTACCCCACATTTCCCCATCTCATTCTATCATCATCCAATTTAACCAATAGGCAAGCCAGCGAGCGAGCAACCATGAACGTCTCCTGCGAATGCCAAAATGTGGTTTTTAAAACTCCGTTGGCGAAACCGCTGGCACTTTATATTTGTCATTGTAATGTAAGATTTTGTTGTTCTCTTTATTTTTTGGTATGGGGTTTGTATTTGTATTTCTCGGGTCATTGAGTTAGTCATGGGATATATGTGTGTTTTTAGAGTTGGGTTGTAGAATTGGATGGACGACGCAAATACGAATACCGCTACCAAGAGCTAACTCGAGAGATCTATAGGAATGCAAACGACAATCCTCCTCGGCATTTGGCGCTTCTGCTATCTTTCCCCGATTTCCATTGCCGTGTCCGGAGTTTTTGGCGGTTTATACGTTGGTTTCCTTTGCATTCTTTCTCCTCTCCCGTTTTCCCCTCTATCAATTCCTTACGCCCCTCCTCTCATGATCATAGCGACAAAAACTAACGTCTCTTCTCCTAAAGTCGTCCCACAGCCTCAGGACACACGGTGAATTGTTATTTCTGCAAAACATGCGGTACACGCCTAATCCACAGCACGCCTGGAAAGAGTGTTGTTAGTGTGAAGGGAGGGTGTATCGAGGGATTGGATTGGAAACTGGCGAAACACATTTGGGTTAAGAGGGCTATGGTTCCTATCCCTGTGAGTCTATTTCTGCATATTCCTCTTTTTTTAAGGGTCTGGTCTTAGCTTGAGGATCTTTTGCGGATAGGTAGAATGGAAATGAGAAAAGTGATTGGAGCGAAAAGCTGGACACCTTGATATTAGAACTTGATTCGCACCCGAGGTTCTATGCGCGTAGAGAAGGAATGGGACGGTATGGAATTGAGTTACTAATGTCGTAAATAGGAAGGAGCAGAAGTGTTAGAAGAGGAACCGAATTATGACCCTTACATTTGTAGGACGACAGATCTTTTGGAAAATGGAAAGATGGATGCTGGAGCTGCGTGAAAGGGACGTGAGAATGAATTGCTGTACTTAGTAAGGATAGAAGATGGTAATGATTATTTTAATAATTTATCACTACCGAAAACTACTAACTTTTGATAATCACCAAAGAAGGTAGAATTGGATGTTACTGTTTCTTGAACATAAGACCTTCGTATAATTAAGCATACCGTACTGGATGTAAACTCGCTAAGCGAATAGAAAATCAAGTCTAATTGCTAGTGTGCCCTACACTTATGCCATTCCACCATTCACTTGAAGTGTCTGACCCGTCACCCACGAACTTGCCTCACTACTCAAAAATGCCACAACTTCTGCAATCTCGTCTGGTTTCCCGATCCTATTCTGAGGATTTAAGCCAGCAAGTGTCTTCAAAAGTTGTTCACTCTTGCCTCTGAAGAATAGCTCGGTGGCCGTTGGTCCTGGCGCCACAGTATTGACCATAATACCCTTTCGTGCTAGATCTTTCGAAAGACCTCGGGTCATTTGCTCAATGGCACCTTTCGACATTATGTATGTTAGGTATTGTGGTGCTACTGTGCTGGCGTGACATTGGGTTGTAGAGAAGAGTATGATGCGGGAACCGGGTGCCATGTAAGGAACGGATTTCTGGAACCATTAGAAAGCCACATGAATAATGATTGAATATACGACGTACCTGGGCGAGAAACAAAGGACCCTTGACATTTAAATCGAACGTCTGATCAAATTCTTCACCACTGACATTTTCCAATTCATTGAACTTCACAGATGCAGCGCAGGCAACCAAGATATCGATCTTTCCATGTTTCTCAATGGTTGTATCAACCAATCTTGAAATATCGTCAATATTGCCGACATCAGCTTTGACAACCGTAGCGTTCTTCTCTCCGATAGCTGATGCAACTTCGTTTGCTGCGGAAGAGTCATTGCTATAGTTTATGACTACCATTGCACCATCGCGTGCGAGACGAAGACAAATTGCTCGACCGATTCCTTTGCTTCCCCCGGTTACAAGGGCGACTTTTCCAGCGAGTGGTTGCATTGTGGCGATTGTATGGGATGTGAGAATACGGTAGAAGAGAAAAGATGTGATTTAGAGAAAACTCGTTTGGTAGTATGGCGAATGGACAAACAACGGAGGAAAACATGACATATTTATACTTATTTTCAAAGCAAGGGCGTACTTGACACTCATTCATACAATGACTCAGAATTTTGCGCTGACAAACCAGCTTTGCAAGCATAGACCGCCGTTTAACTTGCCAGTCGATAGCATTGTGGTCCCTGAGCCTCATAGATGTGCATATGTACAATGGTGGAATACTCCGCAATATCCGTAATATCCTCGATATAAAAACGGAGGTACTCAGGAGATAGACTTATCACCGCGGAGTTTGGGGATAAAGATAAACCAGATATCCTTTCCATTGTGGTTTTGTCAACGCAGATACTTGATACTTTTATTCCCACTAGGAAAAACAGATAGAATTTCTGGAAGATGTCAAGACTCCTATGAATGACACAAATCATCAAACACCTTGGAATCTCGCCGCAAGAAATTCTTTTCATTTGGCGTTCGAATGCTATCGTAGACAAAATGAGGATATTCACATGGTGTATTCTCAACCTTTGAGCAATACCAAACATAACATTCAACATCAATTTTGAATATCAATCTTTTTGAGAAAGGAACAAGTACAGCTGACTGTATATGATACAGAATGCGAGATGAAGTGGAAACGGAAACTTCGCCTTTCGCTGCTGGGAAAGTTTATACAACACAAGCAATTGGCCCGTGCACACCATTTTTGGTCGTAACATCAGCCTTGTGATATTTAATCATCAAACTTCTAGAAAACAATTATCAAAAACCTTCTCAACGACACACTTTCTTTTGTAATTTATCTGGTTACTTTTCTGATACCCAATTCAATTCATTTTCGTACATAGAATCTACGCAGCCTCAAATCCGATTCTTCGATATCGTCGAACATTTCCTATCGGTCTGCAGCAAAAACAACAATCGCATACAATCAAAACCCCTCTATCTCCTTTCTTTCAAAATGGATCAAAGAGAACTTACCTCAAGAGTTTCGGCTCTTCAAAAGGCGATCAATGACAAAGAGCCGGCAGCAAACGTCATTACCATTATGGAAACTCTGAAGAGAGATGTAAATGCCACTGAAGAACTTCTTAGGGTATGTCTACAACCGGCTACATTCCTAACCAAGCTCTTCTGGGTCTTTGTGTCTCCACGATAAACCTTCAAATGCATGGACTGATCAATATATTCTCTAGGCAACCAAGGCAGGAATGGTAGTAGCCAAACAACGAGGAAACGCGAATAAAGACATTGCCAAGCTTGCCACTGAAATCGTCACCAAGTGGAAAAAAACAGTCGAAGCCGAAAAAGAAAAGCGCAAAGCAAAGCAAATGGCATCCGGATCTTCTCCCGCAGTTCGCAGTAACAGTACTTCCTCTCCTGCGCCCGCGCCTAGCGCCCCAGTCACGAAAGCCTTCAAAGGCGATTCCTCAAAGCGAAGATGGGAAACTGATAAAGTCGATACTAAGCGTACGGGTCTTCCAACACGCGATGCTTGTATTGGATTAATGTATAATGGTCTTGCTTTCAAATGCGAAGAGCCTCCCACTCATGTCATTATCAAGGCTATGGCTGTTGAACAAGCTGCGTTTGATCATTTTGGTGGTGAGACGAAGGAATATAAAGAGAAGCTCCGTTCCCTCTTTCAAAATCTCAAACAAGTATCCAATACGCAGTTGCGCAAGAGAGTCATGTCGGGCGATATTGATCCAGCTCGTTTTGTTGTCATGACGCATGAGGAATTGAAATCAGAGGAGATGAAGAAGAAGGACGACGCGTTAGAGTTGGAGAACATGAAGAAGGCCCAGGTGCCAATGGCGGAGAAGAGTATTAGTGATGCTTTGACGTGCGGAAAATGTGGTCAGAAGAAAGTCAGCTATTCACAAGCACAGACTCGCAGTGCTGATGAACCTATGACGACTTTCTGCGAATGTCAAGTTTGCGGTCATCGCTGGAAGGTATGTATCATCTCAACTAGGGCTTACAATCTGATAATCTTTTCTAACCACACTCTAGTTCTCTTGAACAATTAATCCTCGGCGAAAATTTCTCTTCTCAGTTCGGTTTTATTATGGATGGTTTAGGGGCAAAGGAGTGCATAGGTGAAATTTTTGTTTTCAGGGTGGTTTTCAAGCATGGAGTTTACTCGAAATACCTCCCGCAGGTCTCCCTAGATTGCGGCTAAGTTATGTTCGATGAAATTTCACATATCGCATTTGAGTAAATGAAGATCGATGGGTGTCTAGCATGTGATATACACACAGCTTTCGGTAGTCACATCAATTAAATCGATACTATAGAAATATGTTCATTTTCTATTTGATTCATGCTGTCTTCGTGGCGAGACAGATTAAGAAGCCAAAAAATGCAGGACATTGACTTGCTCGATCGCGTACGAAGTGGTAACGGAAGTGTAAAATGCTGCAAGAGCAACATCTAGACTTGATCATGCATACCTATCTATCTATCTAGAGATAAACAACGAGGGAGGATTTTAAGTTCCAATACCGAAGCGTGCGAGCTTTGAAAAGTAATAAGTACCGTTGTTAGGTATACCTACAGTGTGTTCTAGCGAAAGCGAGAGCGAGATTAACGTAGGTAGGTAGGTAGGTAGGTATGTAGACGTTTACTGTCTGCAGCCAAGACAAGGTAAGATTTTATACCTCATAGTAGGTAGGTAGGTATCTATGGGAATATAAAGTGAATTCAAGCCCATCCCAAATTCTCTCTACGCACAAGGAGATGCGAAATATCCATTTATTTCTTCATTCATCCATCCATCTATCCATCTATCCATCATTGGCATCCTGGTATCTCGTATTTGCTAACATGACGCAAACAGAACGTAAAGAAGACAATGTATAAACTAATCATCCATCCAACCATCATACACATCCATGGATACTTACTCATTGTTCATTTGCATTTCGCTCGCTCGCTTAATGTATGTATCCATGCCTCCTCAATGCATCCATGCATGTATTCAAGCTCCATCCGAAACTCCATCGCAAACACATATTCATCCTTTCCTATTTTCATAAATCATCATCGTCATCATCATCTCCAATCCGGATATTTCCTCCCATCTACACCCCTCACAGGACTCACAACCCTTTCTCTTCTCTCTCGATCTCGCTCCCTGAAACTCCTCCCTTCGTATTCATCATCTCTCTCTCGATCCGCTCTTTCCGTTCTGATTCTTCTTGCGGGAATTTCTTCATGGCTACTATGTCTCGTTTGTAACCTAGGGCGTTCCCTTCTCTTGTAATCTCTTTCCCTATCTCCCCTATCTCGTTCATCTCGGTCTCGATCTCTATCCCTATCCCTCTCTCTATCTCGATCCCTTTCCCTCTCCCTTTCGCGATCTCGGTCTCGATCCCTATCGCTCCTATCTTCTCGACTACTGTGCCTCCTACTCCCCCTCCCTTCTCCACTTTCTCTTCCACTTTCTCCGCCACTCCCTCCACTCACATGATGAGAATGACTACTAACACCCTCCCCTCTCATCCCCCCATTCCTCCACATCTCGGCAATATCCCCCAGATCCCTCCACTTCACACCCCTACTATCGCTTCTCCCCTTTTCTCTCTCCCTATCCCTCTCCCTCTCTCTATCAATATCAACCGATCCTCTCCCCGCCTCTCTCTTCCTCCTCCCCGCCAAAAACGGCGCGCTCAATTTCCCATTCAAATCAATGTTAGTTGGATACTGACCCCGTCTCACTTTCTCCTCAATATCTCTCTGCCTCTCCCTCTCCCTCTCTCTTTCCCTCACATCTGAAACCGGAGACGGCATCGTACTACCCGGCGCCGTAGATGGAAATGCAAATACCCGAGGACTATCCGCTCCAGCACTTCGCGACATATAGGCAGTTTGCGGATGTCTTGGTATGGACCGTCCACCCGTCGATGTTTTGATTGGAACCGTGCGAGTTTTCGGGGAAGGATCATCTTCCGAATCCGAAGTCACGCTGGTATCGCTGGACGAATCGGAGGAGTCGGAAACAATGGGTGCGTGGCGGGATTGTCGCGGGTGACTATGTCTTCGCGGGTGAGCGGGGTGCGGAGGATCCGGAACCGGGACATGGTGATGGGGATGGTGGGGATCGACAGGAGGAGCGGGGTGCGCGTGAAAGGTAGGAGCGTCTTCTGAGACGGGTGAACTCAGATTGGGAAAACTGCGATGACGACCGCGGGGTATGCGGGGTGCATATGGTTCTTCTGGAGCGAGAAATTGACGGACTCGATGAGTGGGTGATCGGTTGAGAGGGGGTCGTTGGGGTCGAGATGCTGAGACGTGGGTGTAAGGTATAGGTCGACTGGGTCGACGGGTAGTGGATTCACGGGTAGCCGATTCGCGAGGAGGCTCACGAGTAGATTCCCTAGTAGATTCCCGGGGCGGCTCGCGGGTAGACTCCCGGGTAGACTCACGAGTAGAAGGTTCGAAATAGCCGCTGCGGGGATGCGCAGCATTTGTTGGCGTAGGCTCTGGGACCCTGGGCGAGGGCCGAACATGAACGTATGTTGCTTGTACTTTGGGTCTCGGCGGGAGGTCCGGTATGGGAGCATCCTCTTCATCATCCGGCGTTGCTCGCTTGCGTAATTTCTCTGCACATGTCCGATGCCATTCCTCTATTCCCGCATCCGGTACCAATGGGAACGCTTCCTTTGGCAAATCAATTGGGAATCTCTCTCCCGTATCTGGATTTTTGATTTCGAAATCTCGGACGGCGGTTTGGAGGAATGGCACATGTTCCTCGGGCCCTAAAAGTATTTCTATCGATTGCCATCGCACGAATCCTCGCACAGTGAGACACGGTATCGAAGGAGGGGCAAAATCATCTTTCGTCGGGTTTAACGTATGTTGACAGCCTATCGAGGCATAAATCCAAGAGATGGATGGATGTGTCGTCTCCACAAAAAGAGCTATGTAAGGCAACGGAAGCTATTAGCAAGCACGCTTCTAAAATCGCGGATAGACAAGGAAGACGACGGGAACCCGAAACTAGATACCCCTCCCCTCCCAAAAAAAAGAAGACTTACAGTCATAATTTCCACCAACAGCTTTATAGAAAAGTGCCAACTTCTCTGGCGTTAGGAATTTATCTTCTTGACTTCCCACATTCTCTATCTGCCACAATGATAAGCATAAAACTCAAAGCGTAAATCGCGGAAGTTTGAACACTGCTTACAATATGATTCGCGACTCCTCTCAATAGCGCATTTAGTACTGGCGTCGGACTCTTATTCTCATCAAACAAATATCCATAGAATTCTTTGGGATCCACGTCGGGAGTCTCCTGTGGTTGCGGTTGGGTCTGCGCCATATTCACAAAATATGATGTCGATATCTCAGTCCCTCAATTTGCGGAAAATGATCAATCAATAAGATCTCGATATGGTTGTTGTTGTTGTTGTTGGATATTATATTTTGGCATCGCATTCGTTTCCTCTGGCTGTTGTGTCCGCATCGATAGAGCGGATAGCAAGAATATATGTGCGTGGATACGAATAAAGGTACGGGAGGATTTTATTCGTGAATCAGGTAATTAAATGGTTTGTAGAACGAGAGAAGAAGATCTTTTTTTAATCATGAATGAATGATGCTGCGCAAAATTTCATCACCAGTCATAATCCTAATGATTGGGCATGAGCTGGCAAATCATCAGGTATCAGTCTCGTAGGCTGATTTTGCCGTGATATGGGACGAGTGTGGATGAGACAAGCGGTGGGATGCGTGTGATTCTGGGGTACCTAGGTAGACCTCGAGTACAAGGGTTAATTGAAGAGGTATGATATTCGTTGATCTTGATTCAGAAAGTGACGACGAGAGGAAAGGCCTTCTTTCAACTTGATCTCGATCTTGAGGATTAATATACTTTGGATGAATTACTCGATTGTGGTTTTTGTTGGTTTGTATGATGATCCATCTACGAAGTATATTGCAGATGGCTGGTCAGCTAGTATCCATCTGGCAGGCATAACACAAGTGTGATATACAGAGTATCCGTGGAAAAGCCCACTGACAGCAGCCTTGTATTGAGCTTCAAAGCCTATGAGCCTGTCAAATTTAGACGCGTAGTATTCAATATCCCTGGAAATGATGATGGTTAGTGGGGTTGCGCGGGGCTATACACGGCGTCAGAAGACCGGTGGGTCTCTGAATCATATGGAAGGCGTTTAGAACATTAAGATTGGATTCTATAGAACATTTAGAAGAATCATTTGGTGAGATGTGGACGTCCAGTGGGTGGGTCTTCACCATGAATCAATGAATGGGAGAAGGAAGATATTAGAGAACAGTAGATTATTATTAATTGTCTAGAAGTACTTCCTAATGTGTACGAGGTGCCGACAGAGTAAATACTAGGTAAGTAAAAGGGTATCTTGTACTCGTAAGTGTGCCATCCAGCAAATTCCCAAATCCCCAAAGCCCCAAACGAAAAATACATATTGGTATCCCCAAACTCCCATCAGAAATCGTGTACTCTGTACTTAAAAATCGAGTGTTTGCTTTCCCCAACCATTTTACCCAAAAAGCAGAAAAACCAACGCAAAAAACCAACCAAATCCATTTCAAATCAGCACCTTGATGGATCAACTGGTCTGCTTGATACCTCAGTGTGCTCGTAGCTTGGAGGCAATTCTGGACGTGGAACAGTAGAGCTCGAACGCAAAATACTATTCTCAACCAAGTCCTCTCTTGGCATCTCGATAACTCGTGGTCTGAGATACTCATTCGCATCTGCTAGCTCAGCAGCAGCTTCTTCTGCGGTGAGAGCGAGTGGCGCAGTTCGGTTGCCTTGAGCTGCAATCTGTATTGGGAGACAAAGTTTGACCGTAGAAGCTGGAATTCCTGCTCCTGGAGTATGAATGGACAAGGCAAGATCCAACGAGTAAGTTCGAGAGACGATACATGAATGGAATGAGGGGACCCAAGTCTTTGACGAAGGCAATGAAATTGGGACCAAGATTTCTGCTGTATAGTAGATCCTGTCCTGTGCCTTTAGCGACGTTTGTGAATTATCCGAGTATTCAGACGAACTAGACGATATGGTAGAAGCTCGTCGGGATAAATCTGGTTGTGGTAAGTGCTTCACCCATGCAACCTGCTCCACACATCTTGACGAGAGAGGAACCGAAGTTTGATAAAATTGTCGGGCAGGGTCAAAGGTTTTGACCATACTCGATTTGGAAGAGAGAAACTTTGCTGGCTTGCTAGCATAAAAACTTATCGCTTTGATTTTAGTGGCTAGACTACCAAGACGAGGTGGCTGTGAGTTGATATCGTGTGGTTCAAATTGCAGCTTGACAGTTGCCATTGATGTAGCCTCCGAGGAGCTTCCAGGAGATGGAAGAACAATTGCTCCAGTTTGATCGGCTGAAACAGTTATTTTCCCTAGCTTTCCGGAGAACACGCCCTTTCTCAGAGATTTTGTCTTAGACAGCTCGTAATCATTCTTGTCATCGTCTGAGATACTCAAAGGAGGTGCTTCCGCCACCATTGGTATGATTTGAAGTTTCTTCGAGCCCTCAATCAGGGAAATCTGCTTCTTCGGGAAATCATTGTTTTTAATAACTCTGGCATTGATTGAGTATTGGATTTTGGTCATCTCTGGAGCCAAGTCATCTAGTATGGATGTTTCGCGATCGCCCATGCTAGGAGGCAATTGCACATGTGCCATATGGACATGATCGGCATCACAAGCATGTGAGCAAGCTGTTGGAAGGAGTTGCTCTGGGATGACAAAGTTGAATGGGAAGATGTATGTTTTGCCAGCTTCGGCAATTCGTGGTTGAGGATATGCAGCTTCTCGGATTGGCATGACGAGCTTTAGAAATCTGTGTACGGCTGTTGTCTTGGATGTTGCACTGGAGTGAGCCATGTTTTCGACATATGTTCGAGTAACGCCTTCGAGGGTAATCTGAATTTCATCGAATTCCGCATCATGGGGAGCTGTGATTGAGGCCTTGCCTGACAACCCATCGAATGTTGTATAGGTCTTTCCATCATGGTGGTCATCTAGAAGAATTTCGACATCTGGTCGCTTGGTGGTGTTGATTTTCTTGGCATACGTAGCAATTGTTCCAGAGCCAGAGGATATACTTGAAGCAGACATTTTATCTGAAGGTACTTGAAAAGAAGCTGGACAAAATAGAAGAGGGTATGCGATATAGGAGGGGAATGATGGCTAGATAAGTACGATTGGATATATGATCATGCGGGGAAATATGTGCTCTGAAGCCTCTTGGGTGTAACTTTGATAAGAAAAAGGAAGGAATCGACAATTGCAGATTGATATCGGTTGGGAAGTGCCGAATCCAAATATATGATTGATATGAAGCTGTTTTCGTATCTTGGTGACACTTTTTGGAATCTGGAAACAGGATGAGATGATGGATTGCCTTTATATGTAACAATACCTACTTGAGTGCTGCTTTCATATTGACTAACTGCCTAGTATCTCCAGAAAATAACAACACCATCCATGACAAACCTTGAATATGAGTCAAGCTTGTCAGATATGCGCCCTTGATGCATCATATGGAAATTTTTCTATTTGATGTACATTGTACATGTCTCGACTTTCCCACAATCTGGGATCCTCTGTCCGTGCTTTGAAGGGAAGTGAACTGCGGGAAATTGACACTAAGAAATTGACACTAATTTAGTGGTGGACGTCAAATGATCCCTAACGATGGATGATATGATTGGTCAATCCGTATCCGTGCATCGATCCCATACGCCCTTCACTGTCTCGAGACTGTCTACACCGAATTGTTGATGCGCCTTCATGTCATTGTCAAGAATTTACTAGCTGGGCGAGCTGGGCATACAAAATGTGGTATTCTGACTAATATATTCTGACTAATCCGTAGAATGTTTACCTACTACCTATTCCGTATAACCTCAATTTCACATCACAATGGATTACTAATGTTACCATGTTAATCATCTCTTACCCAAAATAATCCGACACTTCGTCTCTCGTAAGGCTGACTGGTTGCTAACTATGCATTCTGACTTCTCTGATCTCTGATCACCAACAGTTGGATATTCACTGTTGTCTCACAGATGCAACCGGAATATCGATATCCAACTCCGAGCCACCTTAGGAATAAGAACGAACGTCTGGAATGCAACATAACCCATTCTCCATTCCCATCCTATCCTATCCCGTCACATCATACGGGCCAGAAAGAGCTACCTAGCCCCCATCCTAAATCCTAGGATCCCCATCACCCAACCTTTCCTCCAAAGGTATTCCTATCCTTTTCCCTCCCCAGCAAGCACGAAGAAATACCATGGAAGGAAAGGCGCGACTCCTTCATCTCCACCGCAAACTGTCGTATCCACTCCCCAAAGCACGCACTAGACGAAATTTTCGCGACCTTAATTCAACATCGCAAATACTTAACGTACACGATCACCTCTGACACATCTCTCTCTTACAACTGCTCATAGCGATCAACTTCCCGGCCAACGGGTTGAAATTTTCATGTTCCTGCCATTTCTGCAATCTCTGCAATTGCTTGGGCGCATTTCATCATGGGTATCCGAATGTCATTTGCAAATTCTAGGCTTTGAGTATACGAGTCTGGGATATTTATTACTAAGTATCGTGTATCCATAATACGATTCGAGCGATGTCGTGATGAAAGGATTGGTTCTCGGAATTGGGTTGTGCCATTTTGGTTATCGTGAGTGTCATTCCAATACTGGGATCTGATATCTTTCCCATGTGAAAAGTTCATCACTCCCTAGAATAGAGTAGACGATTTTAATTCCCTTCTATCCCACTCCACCACCTAGTATCGTAAATACTCTGCAGTCCAGTCGAGCCAGTCTCCTCTGTACTTTAGTCATCACTGCTGACTACCAAAACACTTCCCCACAAATCTCGTAACATGTCTTCCCCAAGGCGTACACATTCATTAGTTAGCACTCTCGAGACACTCTAGAATCTACACAGAACCATAAACCTCCAACCCAGCAAAAATTTCACATGCAAGATTTCCGCCCTGCGCTCTATGATTAGGTTCACGTCTACGTAAAGATCGAACCGATATCGGACGCGCGGGGAAGAGTCATCCATCCATCCATCTCTCTCCATCAAAATTCATTCACCCACACCGCATCACATCACATCGCATCACATCCAAAACAACACGGCAAAACGGCTCACGGCAAGCCAGAAGCAGAAGGAAAATCTAGCTTTCCACGTTCGCTCTGGGCCTCCCCACACAGACCCATCCGCACCTTGATGGTGTGGTACTTGTATGTACCGGTACTCTACTCCGTAAGTCTCCATCTACGAAGCGAACTCCGTGTCGGTGTTCAAAGGTCGGTGTTGGGACTGAGTAGGTATGTACCTACCTGTACAATCGAAACCCGATTACCCTGCCACCCTACTAGATGCCCTCTCCGGTATTTTAACTTTTCTTTCGATAACTAGCGCTCAGGGTATCTAGGTACCTACCTAGTTATGCTATACCGGTTGGATAATTTGTTTAGGGGTTTGAGTTTTAGTGTGGTGTGAGTCTTAAAGGGTCAGAGAGCTAGAATGCTAGATGCTAGAATGTTAGAGTCATACGTATCTAGAGCAGTACACATAAACAGAGACAGATACTTTTGTATCACCCATCTATAGTCATCGTGGGAACACATGTGTTTTTGGGATATTAAATAGGTTTGTTATATTATTTATATTGATATTCTAGCAAATACTGGTATCGTAAGCAAATATATTGCATGCCGGTACTTTCTCCGAAATGTACTATATTATCTATTCCATCGCCTATCCACCCATTCGTTTGGCACTCAATCCACATCTAAAGCAAAAAGCCCTTTGACACGCAAACCCATCTTTTCCGCATTTCCTGAGCGTTCCTCCGGGCGTTTTTACCATTCCTGGACTATGTGGTGAATCTCTCAATCCCCTCTTTCTCATAAGATCTCTTCGGGTAGGTGTGGTATAGTCAAGAAGAGGCGTTCTTGACTTCCTTGATTCACTGCGAGTGGGCGTGATGATACCCCCTCTCCTCTTGTGTGGTGATACAGTAGGCGTTCTGTTGCCATTGATCATATTCTGGAGAGCTAGATCTTCAGAGTCGGATGTAGGTGTCTCAATTTCTTGGTTAAAGTGATGTGATGGGGTAAGGGGCGTGTTCTCTTTCTCATCCAGGTCAACGAATTTTCGTTTGGGGCGAGGTGTAGGGGAGGACCGAGTAGGCGACGACGTACGCGGTACAGGACCGTTATCAACAGAATTTCTTCTCTGTTGCATTCTCGACTGTATCCTTTCATCTACTGCAACAGTAGGTGAAGACTCAACTTGCGAAGTTGAGGGAATAACAGCACTACTGCTGAATTTTCTGTTTGTTCTATGTTTCCTCCGTGTGTCCAGAGCACTTCTTGGAGACGTTTCCGGAAGTTGATCGATATCAAATATATCAATATCAGTCTCATTTACTCTATTTGATAGAGCAACTGCAACATCAATATCAACAATTTCAGGCTCAGGCTCAGATTTCATTTCGAGTGTAGGTTTTTCGGGAGAAGTGATAGGTAGAGACTGTGGCCATTCGGCGCTGAGCTCGTCAAACTCATCAAAATCTTTGAGGACGCTCAACCCTTCCTTCGGCGGTACAAAAGCGACGGCATTTGTTTTTGAGACTGCTACTTGTTTTCCCTCCCGTCTGATGGTAGTTTGAGGCCCCTTTTGTTTGTCCTTTCCTGGCAATGAGCAGAGGAATAAAACGTCATCTTCCTCAAGGCCAAGGCTCAACTCATCAACTTCCTCTGCCACAAACTTCGTTGTGCTTTTCCTTTGAGAAGGTTCTGATTTCCTACTAGTTTCATCTTTCAATTTGCTACTACTAGATTTTCTTGCTCCTTCATTGAGCTTGGTTGTTGAACCTTTTGAATGTCGCGTCGCCTCAAGATTAGACCCGGTTTCTTCATCTGAGAATTCGTAGGCGGGATTAACAGTGACTGGCGAAATCCTCTGAACTCTAGGGCCGGTATGTGCAGGAAGTTCCGGCTGATCATCACTTTCTTCCGAAGATTCCAAATCAGAGCTCCTCAGATTCAAGGCTTCTTCGTCTACATCTATCGGTCTGACATCGGTCAAGTCAAATACACTGGCGTCTCGAGCCAAATCTTTGTGTAGTCTACGGTCCAAAGATTTGATTGTGGCAACAGCATCTGACCAACTAACTAAAGTCGAAGCCTGCTGTGCAGGCTTTCGAGTTCTGGAAGATCGTTGGAAGGAGGATATCGGGTGCGAACTATGGGATGCAGATCTTATGCTCGATTCTGGTTCTTGATCTTTTTCATCATATGACCCACGAGAACCTCGTCTAGTTGAGCATTCCTTAGACCACAAATGGAGATATTTTTTGCGGTACCTCTGTTTCCAAGAAACTCTCGAGTGCCGGCTATTTAGAATTTCTAATCCTTCCCATATAGATTCCCTTGCAAATGGGAGACCCTGATCGCGTGCTTCAGCTACCTTTGCGATGAGCATCTTGTCTTCTTCTTCCGTGAATAAATTGTGTCCTCGTGGTGAGCCAGCATGACTTGAAGTGCTCAATCCGTCCGAAAGCAATGTTGGTTTATATGTAGCTCTTGGAGTTCCTTTTGCGCCTCGTCCTCTTGGTAAAGCCCATATCGACTCAGAAATACCAGGAGATGGACTGCGCTCAGTTTCTGGCTCTGGAATAAAAGCTCTCAATGCTGACTGCTTTCTCGGTCCTAGTGAAGGCAGTTCAGGTGTTCTCCAGGCTGGTTCGATATTGGTGTCTTCGTGACTTTGCTTTTGTGAAATGAGGCTCACAATTTGAGGGGCAACTTCAGGTCCAAATGAACGTAGAATTTCATTATATGAAGGAAAAGAAACGCTGAGTCCTTCAGATTGTATATTCTGACGCTGTTGTAAATCGTTTTTAGGGGTGCTATTCCGAATGGATTCTGTCTCTGTCGTAGATACCATGTCAAGAAAAGGCTCCTGATTCGATTCACCGTAGCCACGTAAAATAATGTCGTCCTCCTCCACATCCTCATCACTCATCTCGGCCGCGTCGTCTTTATCAAGTATTTTGTCGCGTACGTTATCTTCCTCTCCCCTATCATCTCCTTCTTCCACATTGCTATATTCGTCGCCCGATGTCTCTGTGACACTCTCTGGTTCGACGGTCAAGGCTCTTAACAGATTACCTCCCGCCTTTTTACCTCCAGCATCTCGCTCATCATGCATCTCTTTCAAATGCCCATTATCAACCAATATTTCCCCAGTAAGCAAGTCGATTTCATCTCCAACTCCATCGAAATCTTTCCCATATTTTTCGAAGATTGATTCGAATGTTGATTTTAATTTGTAGTCGAGTCGAGCTCTCTTTTGTTGAAGTTCTTGATCGGGATCGTATCCAGGTTCGTAGATTATATCGTCGTTCTCGTCATCGACAATAAAATCGTCTTCCTCGGTGTCACTATAATCCTCAGAGTACTCGTCGTTAACTTCGAGGTCAACGAGATTGGAAACGGCGGGCGTCGTCTGCCTTTCTGTTGGAGATTCCATATTGATAATTCGCAATCATGTCCGAAATTTGAGAATGTTGTGGGAATCATGAAAGTGCGTAGTTGTACATCACTATTTCAGTAAATGGAGATCAGAAGTTAATCAACGTCGCGAGCCGTATTTCATAAAGTCTCGGGAATACGCGTTGGGTTCGTGTAAATTACATTGTACCAGGTAGGTACATGCATAAAGCTTAAAAGTAGATTGGCGGGGTTGCATAGGTGACTGAGCTAACCTTAGATTATGTAAGCATGCATTTAGCTTTACCGTACGAAATACGTCAAGGTATCAATCATGTCAGTCGGATCAATACGTCTCAGATCCAACTATAAAATCAGTGAATCTACAAATCTTCTTATTCTAGAATTCTCTTGGACTTTTGATGGACCAAAATGCCAGAGATCCATTGGTCGATAGATTCTTGATGATTCTCCATAAATTAATGTGAACAGTTACCAGCAGTCAAACATCCACAACATGTATTGTCAAAAGTGTCGGACATCATTGAAACTTGATAGCTCTTTGGAGGATCTGAACCCCGCGGCATTTGATTTGTTAGTTGGTTCGTAATTATTCTCTAGATCATCTACATACCATGTTGAGAAGAACCAGAGCTTATTAACATTGATTTCTAGGTGCAGCCTCACAAAACCAAGCCAAAAACATCCCCCCTTCGCGACCAGCATATCCTCAAGACCGAAAGCAACTATATGATCGTGTCTCGAAGCATGCCGGTCCACCAACTTTCAAGCGGACAATCTCCGCTCCCCGTCGACATGAATCTAATCTATCAGATACGTTGAGAAGTGGCACGAACAATCCAGCCATGTCTTTTGTCATGTTGACGGAGTCACAAGTCGTACCGCCATCTGTTGCCAAATCACCAGACGCTACAAGCCCGGATAAACTGAATCAAGATGACTTACCTGGCAGCGATGCAGCAGGTGATGGGGGTAAAGCAATGTCGCAAGAAATGGAGCGGGTATCAAGACTTTTCGAGATTCTTACAGCGAAATCCGATATCGATCATCCTATTTGTGTTGAATGTACAGAGATGCTTGTTGATGGATTACAAAAGCGATTAGAAGCTGCGACCCGAGAAAGGGATGCGTATGTTGGATTTTTGAAGCAGGTCAACGCCGAAGTACCAACAGAGGAGGAGGTGAAGGAAGCCAATGACCTCCTTGCAAAGGTACAAGCAGAGGAGGTCGCGGCAATAGAGGAACTAAAGAAGATCGAAGCGGAAACTGCTGCAGTAAACGAAGAAAATGCACAGCTGGAAGAAGAGGCCAGAGCTCTTGATTTTGAGGAAGAAAAATTCTGGAGTGATCGAAATGAGTTTGCAATGAAGCTCTCGGAGTTTCAAAACATACGGGATAGTATCAATCTCCAATATGATCATGATTCACAGCTACTGGATAAGTTACAAAGGACGAATGTCTATAACGATACATTTTGCATAAGCCATGATGGAAAGTTTGGTACAATAAATGGCCTGCGACTTGGACGACTCTCAAGTGTGCCGGTTGACTGGCCGGAAATTAACGCAGCATGGGGACACGCATTACTTCTTCTAGCTACAGTTGCTGGTCGTCTCAACTTCAAATTCGATGGATATGAGCTTCAGCCTATGGGCTCTACTTCTCGAATAATACGTTTTGATTATCCCTCGCCGTCTGCAAGTCGTTCTAGCTCACAACGCGTCAACATACCTAAACCACCCAAGAAATCGATTCTTGAACTTCATTCATCTGGTGATATGCCCCTTGGCCTTACATTCATGCATCGCAAATTTGATATAGCTATGGAGGCATTCCTTGAATGCATGCGTCAATTAGGTGCTTTTGTTGAGCAGGAATCTGCCAAGAACTCTGAAACTGGAAGGGGTCTTAAATTACCATATAAAATCGAAGGGGAGAAGATAGGTGAAATTAGTATAAAACTAGGGATAGCACAAGATGATGCGTGGAGTAAAGCGTGCAAGTACACTCTCACATGCTGCAAATTCTTGTTAGCTCACGCTAGTAATGTTAACACTACGAGGAGGAGTATATAAATAATGATTTTGGATGCACAGGGGACTTACGGCGCATTAGGTCAAAGAATGGAAATGTAGAGAAGGCGTTTCTGGCACTTGGACTGGACTTACGGCGTTTAATATGATCACAATGTTTTCACTACGCACACTTTTAGAGGCAGTTTGAAAAATGCAACATTTGTTATTATGCTATCATTCTATATTTCGAAGCACCTGATTTTTTCAGTCCAATTTAGATTTTGCAAAAGTATATAAATCAAACTCTCTTTGTCAATTTTGTTGAAGCGAAACTTCCAATCTAAGTCTCCTTTTTTTGTGTGTTATTCTCTTTTCTTGTTTTTTTTTGGTTGGCAAGGTTGCCTTTTCGAAACTTTTAAATCACGTTATCGTAGATAGGTCGTCTCCAAGTGGCCAGCTACATGGCAAGGTCAGACAATCTTTCTGCGGGCACATTGTCTTTCCTCTCAGCTCTTCTCTCCTGGGTCTTGGCACGATCATTAGCTCTACCTGCATCTTGCTTGTGATGGAAGAATTCCTGGTCCCAGGTAGAACGCTCGCTGAGAGCCTTTTCTTTTGCGTGGTGTACCTTGTTGTGTCGTTGATCCCGAACGAGAGATCCGACTTCGTGTCTCTGGGAGTATTTTCTGGATGTCATGGTTAGGGGTTTTGTTGGGGTTTTGTGGTTGTGAAAGGTGGGAATGTGCTTGGGGTTACTTGGAAATCGATGGTTTGATTTGCTAGGGTAGTATCACGGGTTCAAGGGGACTGGTTGCTGATGCGAAGTGTGATTGATGTGGTGGTTGATGTTCTGATTAGATTGAAGAAGCTGAGGAGAAAAAGAGATATTGGATTGAATCGAATCTGACAATGCTATATATAGTCGTCGAGATATATTGTTTTCTACTTGTTTTCAACATGAATAGGTACCTTTCAAGTGTTGTTCATCTTCTGTACCTTAACAGACTGAAGAATCAATAACAGAACAACCTCTTATGTCGACTTTCGCACCATCCTCGTGAAGCTCAAACGATTTGGGAAGGATCCCTCTGTGTGAGCGAGAAACTCCACGGATGTTTCATATTTCACAATCCGACTTGATAAAATGGACCAAAGGCAATAATAGATAAGAATGGAAAGCACAACATGCACTCGAAGAATCAATGCCGAGATGTCGATACGTGTAAAATTCAGGAGTAGTCACGGAAGCGATTTCGATTTCTTTTATCCTTTGTTATCATATCATATCATTTCACGACAATCCGAGGGATAAATAAATTATCGCACTTGATATATCATCCCATCACTCTCTAAAGTGTACACCTATACCTCACCTAACCCCTTAAGACCAATAAAGTATCAAGTAAGTAGTCCTCAGTCCCAAACCACTTCTCCATTCAACCCTCCCAAATCATGTGAAAGACCACCACCTTAAGTACTATTTCGCGCCATCTTCAAAATTCACACTCCGACCATATCTCTCTCTACATTCCCAAGCTGAGAACGCTCAGTGAAGATCCGTTCTACTCTCAAATCTTCATCTCTACCTCACGATACCAATACGCGAGACAGAAAATCTTTTCTGGTGTCTTGGATTTTTCGGAAATATTAGTACTGAATGTAGACCGGTATGTATGACTAGTGTTTCATACCCGAAGAAAAGCAAAATAGAAAAATAGAAAAATAGAAAAATAGAAAAATAGAAAAATAGAAAAATAGAAAAATAGAAAAATAGAAAAATAGAAAAATAGAAAAATAGAAAAATAGAAAAATAGAAAAATAGAAAAATAGAAAAATAGAAAAATAGAAAAATAGAAAAATAGAAAAATAGAAAAATAGAAAAATAGAAAAATACTTCAGTATCACTAAAGCAAATACAGTCATTTTCCTAAGTCAAGGTAACTATCATTATCTTTTTCTTACATTTGATACATCAAGAATAATTTCATGTATTCGAAGAACTGTTGTACAGTTGGTCTCATTTCTCATTATCATTAAAAGCATCTAGGTGTTCACACCTCAGCTTAGGTAGGTAGCCAAGCAAACATATATAACAAGCAAGCTATGCAAAAAGCTCACTACCAGGTATATCATCAAAACTCCTGAAATCGTCATCCCGCCCATATAACTACAGATTTCCCATTCTTCTCAAATACTCACAGATGTCAAGCTCGAATCCCAAATTTCCCTCCACCTTTCACAAAGTCCACTCAATTTCCCTCCATAACCTGCGCAATGGGAATCTTTTCAATCTTACTATTCTGTTCCTGATCCCTACTGACTTGATAGAAATCATCACAAAAATCAGAACACTGCATAACCTTCAAGAATTCTTCATCGTGAGTAATAATGATAAGTTGGAAATTTGCTTGTTGTTGACGGGATTTAATGATGTCGTGTAAAGATTGTGCGAGTGCTTTGATGTTGTCTTGGTCTAGATTAGTGGTAGGTTCATCGAGTGCAATGAGCTGTGAATCATGTCAGAGTCGTATCAATCAAATTCAAGAAGGGAAGGAGAAACGAAAGAAAACTTACACCACAGTTGATACCGAAACATTCAGCTAGCGCCAAACGAATGATGATACAAGCCAAAACTTTTTGACCAGCACTGCAACGACCACGCATATCCATCTCGACATCTTGCTTAACCATCACAACTCGATATTTATAATTTGTCTTCTTATTACCAGCTAAGGTTTCGCCCTCATCTTTCTCAGAACGAATCATGATCGTATCGACATCCGTACCCTGATAAGTAGTCTGCCACAATTCCCCAGCAATTCGATTAATTTCCTCCATCTTCACACTATGAAATTTGACAATTGCTTTGTCCATAGCTGTAATCATCTTACCTAAATCCTCAATAGCAGCCTTTGTGGTCTTAACTTTGATCATAGCTGTGCGATACTCTGATCGAGCATTTTTGTAATTCAGATCCCAGTCCTGTAAATATTGTGCCAAGTTTTGATCCTTTTCTGAGAGAACGGCTGTTTTCTGTTGATAGAGGCGACGGTGGTCGTAGAACGTCGCTTGTATTCTCTCGGCCTCCTTTGTTAGAGTTTGAAAATTTCCTTCCACATTTTGAGACTCCAAATCAATAGTTTGTTTCTTGTAAACCTCTAGTTTAGCCAATTCTTGACGATAGAGGATATTGTCGCTGATGTTTGTCTTTAGTCGATCGGAATCACTCTTCTTGGCTCGGAGTGCATTCAACTCGGTTGTAATACCATTCATTTCTTCGCTGATACGCTTCTGATCCTGTTGAATGGATTTGATTGCTCGCTCGCAAGCAGCAAGATTTTCAGGGCCACTGTTGTCAATATATCCATTGATATTTTTCTCATGTTGCAGGAATTGACGGACAGTGTCTGCCAACTTCTCCTTTTGAGATCGGACTTCTCTTTCCTTTGCATGACCTTGCTGTTGAATATCTTCATATTTAGCCTTTGCAGTATCAATTTTGGGTTTCAAAATTTCCAGCTCGGCATCAGCACGATTCATGGTTTCACGTTGCTGTGTGCTGCTCTCGAGAAGCTCATCAATCTCCTTTCGCAAAGCTTGTTTCTTTGCCAAACCGTGAATGACATCCCGAAGTCTTTGCGATTTGCGAGAAAGATCACGCTCCACGTCGTTTATCTTGTCCTTAGCTGCATCTTTCTCGGATGAAATTTTCGACAATTGTTCTCTGACCTCGCGCATACTTTCGCTACAAGCTGTCTGTCGTTCTTGAATATCGTCAGCAGTCATGATGCTCCCAGCAATGCTTTGCTGCGAGGCTAAACTATCAATCTTTGCCTCGTGATCCGTAATATCACTATGGTACCTAATGATGGAGGAGATGATATGTGTCAGAGATTCGACATCTCTCTGTCTAGCGTTCTTGCGTTCAACAATACTGTCGTGATGCTCAACTTCTTCAAGTAATCTTTGCTTCTCATCTTCCGCCTTCTTCATATCTTGCTCAACGTTTGGGATTTCGTCCTTAAGAGATTGATAAATGTCATACTGCGATTGAGCAGCTTTTGCAGTCTTCAACTGTTCATTGTACATCTCCAGCTCTCCCTGCAATCTTTCTCGGGCGTCTTTGTTGAGAAGTTTCTGAATTTTCTTCATGGCGGCTGAACGATGTGATTCTTCTGCGAAACCTCTCTCACAGAGTTTGCACATATCCTTAGTCTGAATGGTGGTTAAGCATTGGGTAAAATATTCGATCTTGTGTTTAAAGCCATCGATATTATCTCGGATCTCATCACGCTCTTCCTCCAGCTGATTCAGCTCCCTAGGATATTCTTCAACACTTACTAATGGCTTCAAGTCTTCATCCTTTATAGAGTTAAGCACAGCATTCTCACAAGCCTTTAATTGCTCCTTCTTAGCTTTGAAGTCTTCACGAAGTGCATTGAATCGAAAACCTGCTTCAGAGTGAGATTTCTTCGCGGCTTCTTGTTCATTTGTTGCGTCTGAAACTTCATCTTTCTCTCTGTCCAATGCACGTTGGAAATCCTTTGCGAGAGTATCAACTTGCCAGTCTGAACCGAGAATTGAATCGAGCTTTGCGCCGTGGGTCGCTTTCATGGTGTCTAGTTTCCCCTTGGTTTTTTTCAATTCCCCCATAACATAATCGAGTTGCGCGCGGTCATTCGAACGCTTATTGATCTCGAAAGCCTCTTTCCTCAATGACTTTTCCTCGTCTTCGAGCTCGCGCAAGCGTCCATTACTAGTGCCGATGCGACTGTCCCAACCTGCACTGTCAAACTGAGTCCTGAGCTTCTCCAGCAGATCCTTGGTCTCATTGTGGGAGGCCTCAAGACCGGTTTTGTCACCTTCGTCGAATTGGATAAAACCCAATTCTGTTTGTTTAGGACCGACTTTCCTTTCATTGTTAGAGATTGTTTGTTTGGCCGTGACCTTTTCTTGAACACGTATTGCGTGCTGGTTCTGGAGTTCCGTCAACGTAGTCTGGACATTTTTCAATTCGTCATTAGTAGCTGTCTTGGCTCGCTCCAATTCCCGTTCCTTGTCGCGAGACAACTTTTTGATTCTCTCGATAAATTCATTCACTCGAGACTCGTTGATGTCGTCATCGTAACCTCGAATGGAATGCTTGGATGCAGCACTCTTAACCAATTGAACTCGAGATTCAAGCTCCCCTTCATAGGCTTGTCTCAAGGCTTGTTGGCGACCTAAATCTGCTTGCTTTTTGCCCAATTCGGTAGTGTTCGCCGATACCTTCTGCTGCTGATCACGATATTGTTTCTGTAATTGTTCGTCTTGCTGTTCCATCTCCAGTATACGATCCGCGTATTGATCTAATGTTGATTTGAGCCATTCATCTGATTCGGAAAGTGGCTTGATTCTCTTTTGAAGAGACTCTAGATTTTCTTCACTGAACTTGACCCGCTCTTTGTTAGTCCTGAGCTTTTGAACTAGTTCCCAAAACTCGGCCGCCTGTGCCTGTTTTGCGTCAACCACTTCTCGAACTGCTTCCATGTTGGCTTTGTCTTTCAAGGCCTCTTCAGACAGCTGATCTATTTGAGCCGAAAGTTCTTCACAGCGGCTCTTGGTTTTTTCTCCTTTATCCTTGTTATCCTTAGCAATCGACTCGTCTGCTATCATGCCTTTAATTTGCTGAGCGTAATCCTTCTTCAAAGATTTGAGACTGTCAACAGCCTTGGTATATTTTGTTGCTTCGAATATATCATCAAACTTCTTCTTGAGCTGTGAAGGCTCGCTCATCGGCCATAATGAATCATCTTGGTGACAGAAAATAACATTGTCCAAAACAGCTTCAGAAACGCCTAAAGCTGTTTGCATTATCTTGTCGATTTCACCAACTTTGTGAGATACGGCAGTTCTCTCGCCACCATTATTGACCATTAATCCGGCATCTAGGGTCTTCATCTTTCTGGCTGTCTTTGTAACCGTGAGTTGCATACTTCTCGTAATGACCATTCTCGATCCGGTCGTACTTTGAAATGAGAGTTTGACTTGTGCCAGTACTTCTTTCTCGCCGCAGAGCTGTATCCAAGTAAGCATCTTGCGTTAAAACACATGTGAAAGGACCATGAGCAACATACTTTAGGGTCATGAATAAAAGCCCCTCCAACCTTACTATTCGGTGGTTGTGCGCCAGTTGTAGCATACTTCAAGCATTCGATGATTGTCTAGTCTCTAATTTAGCCAAACCCTGGAGGGTAGTACCTGCAAGCAAATACGTACAGTTTTCCCCGAACCATTGAGTCCGACGATGAGTGTGAGAGGGGTGTTGAACGAAATATTCTCCCAACCCTTATGATCGAAGGATCGCACCCTGTAAGAACGAAACCTAATAAGATCAACTATCCTAATATATGTTTGGCATCAATGAGACTAACCCGCATATTCTCATCTTTTCTATTTTCGACATCTTGTTGATTAGTGATGTCTGTTACAGCCTGTTGAGTTCTGGCGATTAAAGAAGAAAGTTGATGATTGCGAAGAGATTATCGATGGCCTGGAATAATGAAGTCAGTACTGTAATTAATGTAAGAGACACGGGGTTAAAATAACGAAATGTGGCTACCTTTTCTTCTGCGCCTGTCTATATTGTATGTATGCGTGAGTTTGAATTAGCAGATTGGTGACAATTGAAGAAACCAATAGATATGACGCTCCGCTGGGCCACTGCCGTGGAGGCTTTTTCGCTTCGCTCCAGATAATGAGATATTCTGCGAAGTTGAAGAAATGATGAATGACAGGGACGTTGTAAGTGGTGATTGAATTGTAGAAGAAAAAAGTTGTTGTAGAGGTTGAAGTTGAACGCGCAGTACGATAGATTGAGATGAAAAGAAACGCGTTCAAAGAGCACGCAGTCACGTGATAGATTCTAGGCAACTGATCCGAGTGTCCCTCATTACTTGCGTCTGGAACTAGGTACGGAGCGGCGTGGGACGGGATTTAATTACTACTTATTAGGTACTACTACTGCTAGCTGGAGGTACTGCTCTGTTGTTCGGGTTCGGATACGGGATTGATAGCCTTGATAGAACGGGAACGGGATAGATAGGATTAGTCAGGCTCAGGTCAGGTCAGGCTAGATAGATGTGTCAATGCATTCTCACTCATTCCCCGCCGCCAAGTTGGCTCGTTGGGTCCGAGTAGCAGGTACACTGTGGACAGGAGAATAGGTACCTAAGCACCCCTAGACTCTAGAGCAGAAGCTAAGTGAATCGATGACGTTGACAATGTCATCCGATTTCACTCCAAACATTACGATGCTCGGAGTTGGAGTACCCGACGACGGAATCTAGCTCAAGGGGGAGAGATGAAGGAAAAAAGAAAATTGGATCAGACAAAAGAAAAGGAGGAGAGAGGTAGGTATGTACGAGGAAATGGATATATATAGATAGACAGACAGATAGACAGACAGATAGATATATAGATAAATAGATACCTAGATAGGCATTCGACTATAATTTAAAGTTCTACTATAAGTTGATATAATATCTAGTACTCTTGTTCTGAACATGTTTATTCCATATACCGATCAATACATATATATACGATATATACGATATATATGTATAGGTACCTAGTATATCGGTATATTATATTACATTGAAATTTATCCTCATAGAATAAAACAAAGCAATCATCTTATACTCGTAGTAAGTAATGTTTAACCAAGACGCAACATATCTCTCGATTCATCCACTTGTCCTGAGAACAATTGATTAATCAATCCGGAACTTCCTTTCTTTTGTCTCTTATTCATAGATGTGTATGCTATAGCTATCATTCTGGATATGACCCTGCGCATTTGATAATAGCACCTTTGACCATACGCCTTCCCTCACATCTATTTCTCTTCTTCCATAAGGACATCCGACATCGACATCCGACATACGACATCTTACATCTAGAATCGAAAATCCCACATCTTTTCCATACCACACAGATCTTGGATGACCTACGTACATACCAGGCATACTAACCGTCTTCACTCTAAAGAAAACAACAAAAAAAAACATCACATTTTCACAATTGCCATGTTTCTCCATTCCCCATTTTCCCGCCTTATATTTCGTCATTGAAAAGGTACTCCAATACTCCAATACTCCAATACTCCAATACTCCAATACTCCAATACTCCAATACTCCAATACTCCAATACTCCAATACTCCAATACTCAAAGACTCAAAGACTCAAATACTCAAAGACTCAAATCCTCAAATCCTTAAATCCTCAATTCTCCAAATATCTAAATAGGGTGGTAGTAGTAACGGTACCTGATATTACCTACCTACCTACCTAGCTATCATCAATTCATTTCATTATTAATTCCACTCGATTCGTCTCGTCTCGTCTTGAACTTGAACTTCAAATCTCGGGGGGAAAATTTCTTCCCCTCTCTAAAATTCCAGACTTCCCGACAAAGCAGAGCCTCGAGGGCGTCATATCTCAGCACCACATTTTACTTTCTACCCTTCACGATAAACTTATACCTACCTACCTACCTACCCACCGTCCTACTGAGATCCTTCGCGTCCTCACTACCTATCTGCCTCGGATCCAAATGCGCACACAGAGACAGAGACAGAGACACATACAAATAGATCCTCTTCTTCACGCTCATAGCATAATTAGAGTTCGAAAATGTCCGAGGGGGATACATCTATGAATATGAATAATTTGAACTTGGATCCTACCGATTACTTGCAACAACATCATCATGCAGCCAACCTCGGATCCATAGATCGGACACTGTCAGCCTCGCAGGTACGAAAACCTTCAATTTTTTGAAATCTCTTAGTCCTTTCTAGCCTTTCTTACATCTTTTTTTTTTTTTTTTTTTTTTTTTTGGAAAATCCTCATGGCATCCATTTTCAGTATGCTAACTATACATGATCCCAAATCTAGGTCGATCAAAATTTACCCGATACATTAATGTCGGAGATGCTACAGGATAATTTAATGATGGACTTTGATGGTCTACCCGATATGAATATGGATATGAATACCCTTGGCGACAATGGCAACATTCCAAAATCTTTTACCTCACTGAACATGATGTCGCCCGTCGGAAATGAACACGCCGATGATGGGAGAAGGGGAGGAACAAATGATGGAGATGCCCAGATTGAAGAAATCGGGGCGGGCCCTTTACCTGCAGGCTTTGGTGTCCAACCAACCAATACAAGTAACAGCTCAGTCAATGATTTCACGAGACGAAGAAATTGGCAACAAAAGGTGGTGGAAGAGATCAAGGACTTTTTACACGTCTTGACCCCTTTCGGAAAGTTCGTTTTTCTTTCGCCTAGTTGTCAGAGTCTCACTGGATATGCCGCAGAGGAGCTTCAGGGGAAATTTATTGTGGATTACATACATCCAGATGATAGTGCAATGTTTGTGAGGGAGTTCAATGAAGCCATTGCATCGGGTAATAAACTGCGATTCTACCTTCGATTTCGCAAGAAGGACGAGTCCTACGTAATATTCGAGTGTCACGGACATGCCCATTATGCATCAAGGCCGTCGCCAACAGCAGCTGTCCCAATTCCAGACCCAGAAATCCCACCTAGAGAAACGGCGGATTATTGCAGAGGCTTTTTCATGATGGCAAGGAAATATCCAACAAAGAACGCCCTTCTACTGGATTCATTCTTGGAACATAAAACCGAGTTTGAGCGAATGTCAAAGAAAATCAGGGATCTCAAGAGAGAAGAGGAAGAAGAATTCGAAGATAGTGAAAGGAACTGGACGCATCGAAATCCATCAGACTCATCTGAGACGATGACCACAGGCATGAGCGCATCTCTACCTGCGGATCCGAGCCATCCTGATTTCCGAGCGATGCCTCCTCCAGCAAGACCGGATATGTCGTATAGCACGTTGACAAAAGCGAATCTTGAGGATGCGATTTCTAGTCGACAACCCGATTCTATCAAAGATAAAATGCAACGATATGAGGGTGTTGATACTGTAGAAATGCTCACCGGGTTACAATATCGAGATGGTGAAAGAAGTCAAGGGATTAGCACTGGCGCCCGTAGTCCAGCTTTAATTAGAGGCGATGTTGGAATTGCCATACCAATTGACAAGGATGGCCGTCTGGGGGATAAGAAAAAGAAGATGAAGCTAGCAGATGAATATGTTTGCGCAGATTGTGGTATGTATCATGTTTATTTTCTTTCCCTAATAGTACGAACAGAAAGCTAACATTATTTAAAGGTGTCATGGATTCGCCAGAATGGCGGAAAGGTCCCAAGGGTCCCAAAACGCTCTGCAACGCCTGCGGACTTCGCTGGGCAAAGAAAGAAAAGAAACCACAGGCCGGGTCGGCACCAGCGCCTTCAAATACCCTCACGGGACCTTCTCCAGGCCCTTGAAGATATTGTGCCGACTCTTTTACGAATACGACATGATTGATATACAAGGCGTTTGGATCAGGGGATTTATATTAAATTCAGCATGGAGTTTGACGGGGATGGTGTTTTAGAGGGTTCATGACTTCAATACCCAATTGGCTAGTTTCAAAGGCCGGCGTTTCTCCTTTATATCTTGGACTGAAATGTCAGATGATTTGCTTCGCGTGTTTTGAATCTCAAGAGGGCTACCTAGCTATAGTGGATGGATTTAAAACCATTTCATGTCTTGTCTTGTCAGTTTAATGATTGATTTTATGCGCGCTATGAATGACGTATCTAGTATTCTCCCATGACGAAATAAGAGATGATTGTTTTATGGAGTGTATTCAATCTTTTTGTGAGGGGTTATTGTGATGCAAGCCCGATATATCGTAGTCGTATCTATATTATTTTAATTCAGAGTTTCTCTCTCTCTCTCTCTCGTCCTCCTCCTCCTCCCTGCCACCGTATACATACGATATATATTTGGTTAGTTTGGGAACTGTGACGTCATCAAAATACTTCACTTCTTACAAGGTACGAGTAGATAGGTAATGAATAGGAGGAGAGTGTGAGGTGTAATTGTATATCGAGGTATATCGAGCTAGTTTTCAATAGTAACTAACGTATCGTATGGATTTCGAAATATTAGAGGGAAGGGGGGTATTGAAATTTTATATTTCGGTGGGATTGTGAATGGTGAATGGTGAATGGTGAGTTTTGAACGGAACTTGGAGTGTGTGTTATTAGTTGTACTTTGTAGATATTGAAGAAATTGAAGGAACTGAAGATACTGAAGATACTGAAGATACTGAAGATACTGAAGATACTGAAGATACTGAAGATACTGAAGATACTGAAGATACTGAAGATACTGAAGATACTGAAGATACTGAAGATACTGAAGATACTGAAGAAACTGCTAGGTAATTTATAGTTTTGTACCTAGATAGATAGATACTCAAGCAATAGCAAGATTAAGATTACAACATATACCATATACAATCTGTAACCCAAAATACATACATAGATACTCGATAAACTAACTAACTAATCAATCACCTACAACAAAAGAACCAAACCAAACCAACAGAGAGAAAAAAACACAAAATCCATAATCACAAATTCCTCATCCCCTCTCTCGTATACGCCTCTCCCTTTGTCCGTTTCTTCACCGTCTGAACCGTTGCCTTCGCTCCCCGATTCACCGGCACCGGCACTCTAGACGCTCCCCCCGGTGCATGCTTAACCCTCGACGTAACCCTCTCTACCGTTAGTTTCGCTGCACTCTTCGCCTTCGCTGTGATTTTCTCCGCAGGAGCTCCCGCTGCGCTCTTAGCTTTTGATGCTATTTTCCCCTTCGCGCTTCCCGATGCGCTTTTAGCTTTCGATGCCATTTTCCCCTTCGCACTGCCCGCTGCGCTTTTAGCTTTCGATGCGATTTTCTCGCCGGAACTTCTGGCCGCCTCTCTCGCTCGCTTTATCCGTCGCTTTCTCGTATACTCTGCCTGCACTTTTGGCTTTTGAAGATGCATTCTCAATGACGTCTTCCGCTTGTGCTTTCCGGGTTGCGTACGCATCATAGCCACCTTTGACGCCGTCTTTAGCTTTGGCTATTACTCTTTCATATGCATCACCAGCTAGATCCTCCACCTTCGAAGCACCTTTTTGAAACTCTCCTCTGACACCTTCCTTTGCATCTGAATATGCTGTTTGATAATCCGGAATCGGGTGTTCTCTTCTTTTCCCGAACCAGTCGGAGCCAGGTGATCCAGTGTATTCGTAAGCACTAACCGCCGTTTCTCTTCCCCTCACTACCGACTCTCTCAAGGACTTCGTAATCGCAGCGAGAAAACCTGTAAGCCAAGCGACCAACGCTGCCCATCCAACCACATACAAGAGAACCAGCAATGCACCCAGGGATAACAGAGCCAAAACGGCCAAGAGATCCTTAACTCCCTTATATCTCCCACCCACTTTCTTTTTCTTCTCTGCCACGAAATCTAGAAGTGGTTCGACGGGTTTACCTTTTTCTTTGTAGTAAAATACCGCTCCCGCAGTCGTGACGTCAAACACGCTCTGACCATCCATATCACCACCCGGCTTTGAATTTCCCGCCCAGTATCTCTTCGTGACGGGCCAGATTGCAATTTTGACCCCTGCCTCGTGCGTAAAACCGGGAGGGTTATGATCTGCCAGTTTCTTTTGCACATCTTGAAGGCGACGAAGAGCTCTTAGACCGGCGTTTGATTCAAGGCGTGCCTTGCCTGCATTCCTGTAGCCGAGCACATAACCCTCTGCTTTCGCGCGTTCGATTTCCAATTCTTCGTGATCTCGGTTCCAGTTGTTTTGAACGACGGTTTTGGATAAGGTCCAGGAGTTTTGGAGAATGGACGTGTGTTCGTCGGGTTTGTAGGCGGTGCCGGGGAGGAGAGAGACGGTGTGGATTATGGTTGGGGAGATGCGGATGCAGATGGATAGGTAAGCGGCGCTGGAGAATATGTTGTGGAGGGCTTGGTATAGGGCTGTAGCTTTGGGGGTGACGGTTTCGGGACCGGCAGGAAGAAGCGTGAGGTAGTTGAAGAGAGGCATGAAGAGGAGTAGTACTTGGGCGGTCAATTTTGTGCAATCCTTGTGAAAATTAGGGGTCAGAGATGCTCCGCCCAAGAGAGTGCGAATAGATCTGTGGCGGAGGTCCTGACGACTGTAGCCTACAGAGTAAGAGATGTCAGTTTGGATTGCAATCAAAGTTTTCATCTGCTGATCCTTGGAGTATCATACCTTCACCATCGAGAAGTGCACGATCTAAACCATGAAGAAATTCTTCCCCCTCTTTAGTGTTTCCCCATAGAACTGACGAAAAAACCCTGGCCTCTAATATCTTTACAATAATACCAACAATGAGATATTTTCTTGTACTCGTATCGAGCAACATCTCATCCCATCCTCCAACTACAGCATCTGGCTCAGCAACAAGTTCCACGTATCTGTAAAACTCCTCCGGCATCTTAATAGCCCAGGGTTCGTGAAACCCTTCCTGTAATTCTTGAAACCCAAAAAACTCTGTAGCAAACCTGACTATCGCTAAAAACAAATTGGCATATTCATCCTTAAACCATGCATTACTGCGATCTCCAGCTGGATGCGGAGGATGCTCAAGTTGAAGGGGCATAAAGCGTTTGAAGTCGGCCATAGTAGTAGGTTGTGCCTGGGCTTTTCCAAACCACCTCCGTCCCCTGGCCGGCACTTGATTTGTTACATTTGGGTTGTCAGCTTCGGCCAATGCCTCTTTTGCCACCGGAGGAAGAACTTCAGACTCTTCCACTGCTTGGGATGCTGCACTTGCAGGGATGATGTCTGTGACGGGACTGCTGGTTAGGCTATTGAGCAGTGTTAGCCCTTTCGTTTTATCACCCTCTTCTCGCACCGCTAACAATGCTTCTAGGGCTTTATTTCTTCGTTCTTGGATTAAATCTTGGTTGACTATTTGGCTGCCAACTAGTCGCGGTGCATTACGTAGAGTTGTTCCTGTTGTTTGAAACAAAACACTTTTGTCGTCCTCGCCAGGAAGTCTGTCCTCGTCGTCCACATCATCAAGCAGGTTGAAATTGGTTCGATTTCGTGAGAACGACATAATGATGAAGATGATTAAACAATTACAATGTGTATAGCATTTAGATTGAAACTTCACGATCTTGCAATGTTGCAACGTTGATTGATGTTTGTATGTAACAAAAGAAAAGAAAATGAAGGACAATCAGGAAGCTTTCTTCAAAGAAACGAAGAATGCCGGCCATACAAAGAAAATAAAAGCTGGAAGCAATCACCTCTTTTTGTTCTGAATCAAGTCAAGCGATATAATTGAAAGCACTGCAAGGAGTTAAACAATTGTAAATCGCTTTGATTTAAATTTGTGGTATTGTAATCAAGAGTTCGGCTCCCTGACATCTTACTACCAATCCTTGGTCATAAGGTTTGGCCTTGATAGCAAATTTGTTGACGACAAGAATTCTTCTCCCCTAGAAGTTCTGTATTAGCAATCATTTTTAAATACATTAGCAAAAGGTATTACCTTACTGATGAGCTGTACATTCAATTTCCACATCAGTCCCGAGTGGCAATTGGTATACCGCAACGCAAGTCCTGACTGGCTTGGGATCCTTATGGAAGAATTCTGCATAGACTTTGTTCATGGCTGCAAAATTCTGCATGTCAGTCAGGAAGACGTTGACTTTGACAACATTTTCAAGACTACTGCCAGCGGCCTCCAAAACCGCCTGGAGGTTCAAAATTGCTTGTTTCTAGATTTGTTAGTCAATAACGTTGACCTTGGAATCTGTAGATAGGAATTGAGACATACGGTTCGATCAGCAACACCTCCTTCGACAAGCTTCATTGTAGCAACATCCATCCCAATGCTACCGGAGCAATAGACCATTCCTTGACATTTGATGGCTTGGGAGAAGAAGGGCAATGGCGGTGGTGCCTTGTCGGTCGAAACAGCTTCTTTTTGGGGCATCGTGTATAATTTGTGTCCTAAGCTTTTAATAATTGGATCAAGTAACTATAGTTGGATAGAAACGGTGAAGTGTTTGGCTTTGATTTTGTTGTTGAAGTTATTTTGTGAATAGCTGTTGTTGGAATTAGGAAGGTGGGGGGACTGTGGAGGTAATACAAAGATGGCGGGGAATGAGACTGATTTGCCTTCATCGCCGTGGCTTTTCAATCCAACATAATTCCTCTGTTTCCTGTTAGCCAACCAACCATACCTCGCAAATTCCACTCTATTGGAGACAATTAGTTCTTTTTCAAGCAATATTCGCAAGAGCTATCTACTCTCGTTCTAGTTTTTACCCAAGGTATTGACAATTGTGACGTCATAATACTTGAAAAGAGAGCATAGAATATGAATATGAATATGTACTATACAACTACTCGATATGTATCTTCAAGGGGAGCAAAAAGGGATCTTTACCATATATCTAATGAATTATATATCTTTTCTTAGTAGATTTTGAGTTGTCGATCATGAACAGCTTTCTCACGTGCCACGAGCAAGGGCTCCCGGTGACCCCACACACAAGATCTAATTATCCTCGGCATCTCGAGATTCTACATACTATTCGCGACCTGAAGGACTATTTTGAGCACTTTTTCGATAGCTACCATGTAGTTACTGCAACATCTTTTTGCTCTGGATTCATAAATTTTCTCTTCATCTTGCTTCACATATTTTTGAATTTAGTGGTTCAGGAGACACCAACTACTCCTCATACACATCCTAAACTTGAATACATGTTCTAAACTTGAATACAAAAGTACTTGCGATCTTCTCGCGCTACAGGGTTTCAAAGTATCAAAGTGTGATAATGATGAAAATCGAATTCTAATCACATCACCACATCAAACCTTCAAGTAGAGTCAGACAAGCGAACATGACTCCCTCACTTCCAACCTCCTATTCAACCCTTCCTTTCCAACATATCCGCGTCTCTCATATACCCGAGTCCTCACCCATTCCAACTCCAACTATTCTAATCACACTATATCGACCAGAAAAACACAATGCGTTCACAGATACCATGGCCGAAGAACTTGAAATAGCTTTCAATCTTTTGTCGCTTGATCCTAGAGTAAAATGTATAGTTATGACTGGTCATGGAAAGATGTTTTGTGCTGGAGCGGATTTGGAAGCCGGATTGTCGTATGAAAATGATACGGCTTTGACGCATCGGGATGGTGGTGGAAAGGTGTGTGATTTATTCTTTCTCGTTTTGGAGGAGTGTTCAACTTGCCGCATTCTTTAACACAGATTTTTTGGACTAATCCCATTTATTAGGTAGCACTAGCTATTCATAGATGTACTAAACCTACAATTGCAGCTATCAATGGGTGAGTGAAACAACCACGTTCGCCTCGTTTGATGTCTTTTGAACATAACTAACACCTTCGTAGCTCGGCTGTCGGTGTAGGCATAACCGGTAAGCATGAAACCTACCCCCGTCAGATAGCTAATTCCGATTCCAATCTCGTTTCTACACAAGAAAGATTTCTAATCCACCCCAGTGACACTCCCAACTTCCATCCGTATTGTTTCTTCTACAGCAAAAATCGGATTCGTATTTGCCCGCCGTGGTATCATAATGGAAGCATGCTCCTCCTACTTCCTCCCCCGTCTTATCGGTCTCTCCCGCGCTATGCACCTCACGACAACTGGTTCAATCTACCCCTCAACATCCCCTCTCCTCTCCTCTCTATTCTCCGAGATTTTACCCCCAGAAAAAGTTCTTCCACGTGCATTAGAACTCGCAAATGATATAGCTCAAAACACGAGTGCGGTTTCAACTACAGTTATGAGAGATCTGATGTGGAAAGGGCCAGAAACGGCGGAAAAAACACATCTTTTAGACAGTAAGATTCTGTTGGAGTTATTTAGAGCAGGGGATAAGAATGAGGGGATTAGAAGTATGTAGTTCATTTTTCCTAGACATAATTTTGGGACCGCGCTAATTGATATATGTTAGGCTTTATGGAAAAGAGAAACCCAGAGTTCAGGGATAACATGCAAGAGAATGCACCAAGTGTCTGGCCATGGTGGAAACCAGTTGATACTAAGCCCCCGGCGACAATTGAAGAATTGACCCAGAAATCAAAGAAGACAGAGATGGAACCAAGTAAGCCTAAACTTTGAGTTTAAGTTATCAGCCATTGTATAGATGATGTACAAACTGTTCAGAACTATTTGAACTAGAAACACCCCAACTTCTAGGGGGAAAATGCGCGGGAACAAATGAAGACGACAACTGTATTTTTTGGTGTCCATTGAAATGAAGTGAGGTGAAGGGTGACAGTAATGGTGCAACCTATGATTAGACACCTGCTCAGTGGGTAGAGGAAACAGAGAGTCAATGCTTCGGTGACTCAACGGTAAATTTCGAGATTGATCCAAATGTATATAAAGGCGTGTCTTCGATTGCTAAGCTCACTCCCTGTGTAGTGAATAGAATTATGTCAATCTCCACGTTGACCATAATCGTCGTTTTGTTGTAACCAGAATGCTACCGTTAATACAGCAACAACTGGGTTGGGTTGAACATCCAACAAGTAGATGACGGCAATTAGACTTATTCAACGTCAGTGTAGGCTACGGAAGTCAATGTAAGATGACGATGGTGGTGACGACCGACAGATAAGAAGTGACAACGAAAAGGCTTTGTAATGATAGGTGATAATGATTGGCAAACGTTGATATTTCTGGTATAACGCCAACACATACGTCCGAAGTTGACCTGTTTATTACAAAAAACTTCGATACACGCGCGGTATTGCTTCCGTTTGTGAGAACGAATGAACGCTAAAGCCCTTTTATTTTCTAAGATAGGAGTTGAATTGGTTTCATACAGCTAAATACTAGCTTGGTGTAGGAGCCGAACCAAGTCCTTGTCTTTCCTGGTACGATCACGTTTTATTTTCCAAGGGAGAGCCCAAGACTATAAGCCAGTAGCATATGCCTCTTCTCGCTGTGGAACCAAGATGGTGAAATTGTTGAGTAGGTATACAAACCACTTAGTATGTGGCGATAGATCGCACATCCATCAATGCTAATAATGACAAATCTGAACCTTTCTCATGGTAAACAGAGTGTGAAATCAAAATATTATAATCCAAGCCAATGCACAGATATTGGAACAAGGTCACTAATACGAGAGATTGTGGAAGATGAGTATTCTAAGTTTGCATTGCCATTATGTACACTTCTTGTCATGATATCGTAAAATAGCCGAATGACAGGATTCGTATTGATAATAAAAGAGCTTGTGACAATGAAATATTTATTTCAATATTCTTACTCAGATGTTCTCTCAAATCACATTTCATAATACCTTCAACTACATCGATAGTAGGATATGATTGAATAAAAAGCTACCTGGCCCATAGGAGTAGCCTCTACCGTGTTATAAAACTGTGGTACGAGAGGAAGATCCACGCCTGGTTCGCTTTTGCTCTTTTATATGGTGATTCTTGAGAGGAAGTTTGGCAGTGGGGGCAGTATGAGAGGGGGGAAACAAGAAAAGTGATTGCGTTGTGGATGGGTTTTGCGTTCACACATTGGTGCTATTCTAGACAGGCGGGTTTAGAAAGACCGAGCCTTCAATATCCAGTTTAAGGAAGGTGGTACTTGGTTGAACAGGAAGTAGCTGGGTTCCACTTGGAATCTTGGTGTACAGTACAGCGATTATCGTCTACTTCACTTTGAACTCTGAATGCTCTTTTTTTTTGAATTATTTGTTTTCATTCAAAATTCAGTGGCTTTTGTGGTTTTCACCACAGCTATGTTGCCGGTCATTATTGACATTTAATGGCGCATCGCATGACCGATATGAAACCGAACATGAGGGATTTAAGACACCTTTACGCCACGAACGCCTACCAGTTTGTCCCATTTTTAAAACCAAAGGTGGACAGCCTCCATAGTCTGAAATTAATCGGAAGCGTATCGATTTGCCATGTTTCCTCTTCATGGACAGCCAGATCGTCTTATACGTCGACATAGTGGAGCTAGAACTTCGTTCGGGGCGAGTCGTTCGAATAAGCCTCTGAACATATTTCTAAAATGCGCACATTGGCCGATTCGCATATAGTCCGTTGTGCAGGGGGTTTTCAGGATTGACCTAAATCTGCAAACACGAAGAGCGTTACCCAGCATTCCTATACACTCACGATTGGTCCACAAGCGCCTTGTACTGCCTCTCTTCATCTTCCAATCTTTTCTGTTCGTCCTTTTTGGCGGCTTCGGTATTATCTGCCATAGTCTGCTTCATTTCTTCGGCATCCTGTGCACCTAGCACGTCTTTGACAACATCTATAATTCCCCATTGTTCATTTTCATCTGGAAATCTCAACTCCAATTCTTCAATAATGATATTCAAATTCTCCATTGATGTCGGTCGATGATTGATAATCATGAGGATTTCGGCTTTGGTCAAGTCATAGGGACGAAGCTGTTCAAGGAGATTTCGAATTGTATCCTCATTGTATGGGCATGGCTTTTGCGCGAGAGGTGAAGGTGCCTCCTCGAGGTATTGCATTAACTACAAAAAGATCAGTTTTAGATTGACGAGTCACAACGAAGCAAGGTGCTACCTCTTTGATAACATTGTCAAGATTTCCTGGTCTCCTTCCTCCTGTGCGGTGTTTCTTTTGAATGTCCTTCAGATGAGTGTAAACCTCAAAATTGCTCAGGGTCGCGGATTGTGCTTCTAGAATCTTCATGGCTGTTTGATATCCCTGGCGTACTAGCGTGTTGTAACTGGCAGCTAGACGTCACCTAGTACTCCCAAGACGTTGTATTATGTGGCTCTTCGTAAACGGGCGTTGATTGTTGGATCACAATCTTCAGCCTTGAGGAGAAATAATTTCTAGAGTTGACTATCTCATGCAAAACATTTTAAGCGAGTTCAGCCTCGTGCTGCGGGGTCGCAATGGGGTTTAATTGCTTAACTCTAATAGGCTAAGGCCGTCACCAGATCTGACCGAATGAATCTTTTTTTTCTTTCCCTCTTGTGTGATTCAAACTTTTGCTTGTGAGAGGTTTTTTTATATTTGGTTTATGTGCAATTCATATCAATTCGATCTATCAACAGGAACTCTTGAAATCAATTGGAAATTCATAAAACTTCCATCTTGGGGCAAAAGGGACGATACCTTATCGCATTTGCTAGATCTATAAAAGGTTCATCATCTGCCATTTATTGCCTGGAATTCCTGTTCGATCCAATTCTTTCTTCTTTCTTTCAAAGCCCTTAGACCGCCCCAGATTTGACGCGGCTACGAAACCCCTCATAAAAAAGTTAATCCCGCATTTCAATTCAAACCTTACAACGAAAATCTCATTCATCATTACCATCATCACCATATCGCAACTACCTCAAACTTCTTGCCATATATCAGAAGATATGGTTCGTAATCTGGTTGTTCTCGGAGGAAACTCCCATCCTCAGATAACAGAGATCATCTGTAATACGCTCGGTGTTCCACCCTGCAACAGAATTCTTAAGAAATTTTCCGTTGGTGAGAGTCGTCTCGAGATCCAAGACTCAGTTCGAGGCAAAGATGTTTATATCATTCAATCGGGCGGAGGAAAGGCCAATGATCATTTCATAGATCTTTGCATTATGATTTCCGCATGCAAAACTGGATCTGCCAAGCGTGTCACTGTCGTCCTTCCTTTGTTTCCTTACTCACGACAGCCCGATCTTCCATACAATAAGATTGGCGCACCACTTGCCAAGGGGCCCGCCGACGTCAAGGGCAACTTTACTTTCGAAAGTCGACCAGCAACACCGGGTCCTTCCTCCCCTCAAACACCAGGCCTTAGCAATGGCACTAATGGTATGGAAAAATTACAGAAGAAGCTTGGAAAAGCATCTCTCGAGCAGATTAATACCCAAACTTCAAATGGAATAACACCCAGACGACAAGACACTACGGATTCCATTGCTTCTCTGACCAATGGACGCTTGGCTGACGGAGCATCAACTCCCGTGTCAACTCCACATTTCACCACTCACGATTACGAGAACCCTGGTTTTGTCAATGGTCAAAGCAAAACTCTTTTCCAAGGCAAGCCAGGATACAAACAGTGGGTAGCGCAAGCTGGCACACTCGTCGCAGACCTTTTGACTTGCTCTGGTGCCGATCAGGTAATCACTATGGATCTCCACGACCCCCAATACCAAGGATTCTTTGACATCCCAGTGGACAATCTGTATGGCAAGCCTCTCTTGAAGAGATACATCCAGCAAAACATTCCGAACTTTCACGATGCTATCGTCGTAAGTCCTGACGCTGGTGGAGCAAAGAGAGCAACTGCGATTGCCGATGGACTCAACATGGAGTTTGCATTGATTCATAAGGTAAAACTTCCCCCAATTCTACTCCCTGCGCACACTCATATCAATTAGGAACGTCGACCTACCCGAATTACCGATCGCCAAAATGCTACAATGATGCTTGTGGGCAATGTTCGTGATAAAGTTGCTATACTCATCGACGATTTGGCCGACACCTCGAACACCATTACAAGAGCTGCCAAATTGCTTAAGAAAGAGGGTGCCACTTACGTTTACGCTTTGATAACCCATGGAGTTTTCAGTGGTGATGCTATTGAGCGTATCAATGCATCTGCACTGGACAAAATTATCGTGACCAATAGTGTTCCACAGGATGAACATCAACGTCTCTGCCCTAAGTTAGAGGTCTTGGAAGTTGGCCCGGTCTTCGCCGAGGCAATTCGTCGTGTTCACCATGGAGAGAGCATTTCTGTATTGTTTAATTATGATTAGACTGAAGATTGGCTATTTTCCGTTAGGGGCACTGCATTCAGGAGTTCGGGCATTGGAGGGGAGTACATTGGTAGAGTACTCGCTTGGCGCATTGCAAACCATGGCTCATATACAATTGCTATACCCCTAAACCGCACTGCGGGCTATTCAAAGTTTTCCATTCTTGTTCATATGGCATGGAAGAAAATTAGATATATACAAACACTCGATCTTTGGTAGATTTCCATTGAACGTCTTGACGAACCAAGTGCTGGGTTAGGCGTCTAGAGTTGCATATAAATTAAAAGCATAGAACTGAACATAGAAATGGATAAATGGGAACGTAATCTCAAAGAACATTTATTGGTCTGAAATGAGTGTGCGTTTGAATGTATGTGTATCTACGTGCGATTTAATATTATCTTATCCAATCGGCATAGCACTCACTGATATCAACATGTTGTGCCACCGAGCCATGAAACGATGAACATTTTAATCTGGGCTGGCCATGACTAAGAAGATAAATCTTACTTGAGCCAAAAGATCGTCAATTTCAGGAATGGGAATATACATCTTTTTGGGTACTTGGAAAGTAAGGATCAAATGCAGTGTGCAGTGGAGAAAATAGGAAGAGCTTCGTTTATATAAATCAATTGACGACAAGAAGGAAGGGAGTACATCAGGTGAGGTTTGAGAGGTTTGTTGGGTTGGGCAGAACACTGGCTACATCATCTGGTAAATTACGCATGTTTGACTCAGGATGTATCGATCTACTCGGCTTCCAAGGAAGCTAGCTACTCTTAATATCTGACTATATTCTGCAGTGATGTTTAGCAAGCCGAAACTGGGAGTGCGTAGATAGTATAGTCTGCTGGAAGCTTTCTTTCGTGACATTGAGGGTTATAGACGGGTGTGTGTAGGCTTTGATGGGCATTCTGCATATTTCGGGGAGCTGGTTCTTCAACTTCCTGACTCCTTTGGTACAATTTCAAGTAAAGCTGAGATCCCGTTATTGGTGAGTGGTATTAAAGTCTTCGAAGTATTGGCTTTGGTGTAGAAACATACTGTCACTTTATGTCGTTTGTGAGCCGTAGATTGTATATCACGGACTATGAATGGACGAATTCACCAGAGATTCCTCCTCTACCTTTGAAAGTATGTTTGGTATGGTATGGTCGCAAAGAAAGTGGTTTCCTGCAGTGTTGCAAACAAAGTAGCACGGGGCTGCCATTCCATAAAGTACTTAACATCATTCACCCACAACAAGATACCAAAGATTGGCCCCAGGAGCAAACTTCTCTCCAACACCACACATGCACCAAGATGGCTTCTTCAATGCCACCTAGCCTTCGGTTCATAAATCATCCACATATTACACATCACAGTACTCATCATACCAGGGATCGTAGCTGGCACTTGAGCGTTACCATAACCACCAGAAAAGAAACTGCAGCCGACGATCCTCCACCTACGTATTCACCTCCAAGACCAGACTCTCCCCCAATTCCAGAATCTCCAGCATCTGGACGCCCAGCTCCACATCACTACTTCCACCCTTTCCCCCGTCTTCCCACCGAACTCCGACACCGAATCTGGACGCTCGCAGCGAGAGATATCGCACCTCGCGAAATCACTATCTGTCATGAGCTCTGCGAATTTGAAGGTTACGCAAGCATCATTGCGAAAGTAACCGAATATTTAACCAATCTTCTGACATTCGGCCGGGAGAAGAAGATAGTTGATTATGAGTGTTCGGCTGTTCCTGCTTTGCTTCATACGAATTTTTTGGCGCGCAGTATTGCGCGCAAGTTGTATAAGAGACGGTTCCAGGAGGTGCTTAATAGAAAGATTTATGTGGGAGCGAAGGATAGGGTTGTGGTTGTGCCTAGGCCTATTTGAGAGACAGCGAGGTGCTTGGAGGGCCAGTTCAATCGGGGGAAAGGTGGGATTGTCTTATTGTCATAACAAGAACGATATAGATAGGTTGGCTTCCTGGGATATCTGTTGTGCTGCTTGTAGAGACAACGTGGTTTGGAAGGCTCGGAAGAGTCATTTCAAGGTTGGGGTGCGCGTGTATCATACCATATCATGGGAAGAGAACTTGGTTTTGAGGGGCATTACGGCGGCATTTACTTGGCGGTTTAATTCTAGATGATATGACCCTAGGTTTCATTTGCAGCAAACCAGGTGTTAACTATTTGACTAAGTGGACAATCATACTTAGCTCTTCGTATAAATAATAACCGAATCAGATAGAAAATTTTCAGATGATAACTTTCAGAACATTACCGTTGTGATTAGACGACGTCATTAGCTGCATCCTTGCTTTTGTTGCATATCTTAGAATGTATAGTTGCTAGCCTCTCCACTATAATGGCTTCTAGGCGGGCTACCAGAAGGTGAATATCATTAGAATCATTACTTGTATCGCTTATTAGAAAGACGGAAGCAATGCAATACATCTCAGATATGCAACAAAACAGCAAACTTTGGTCCGAAATTTTGGCGAGACTTGAGAGAATCATCTCTGCTTGATGTGCTGGATGATATCCAATGATACTGGACTTGATGATATAGGTACTGGACTTGATCTTCCAATTTTTGCCATATATGTTAAGCGTATGATAGACGAGAGTGTCTCGCTGTCTAAGCTCGGGTCAGGTACAGAAATGTTGAGAATCGGATGAACGTAACTACAAGCCGCAGTTCAATTTATGGGTTATTGGTTGCGTGATCCTTTTGACTCAAGACAATAAAATAAAGAGAAGAAGTTCACATCATTCGGAAAGATATACTGTGATCCTACTGTTCCTAAAACAGGTCGGGCTAGCAGTAGAAAGAAATATCAAAAATACATAGCAAGCGTACTAAAGCCGAGACAGCTTCTCGCTGCTCACTTGAGACACAATGTCACAATAGCCAGCATTCACCTCCCCTTGACGAGATATACGGATGTATTCATCACTCGTGGTTGTTTAACGAATGGGCAAAACAGAAAAAGGAAGCCAATGACCTTTAGATAATCGTTGGGACAAATCTAAACGAGACAAAAAATAATTGCACGGTGATCAATACTTTTGAACAGTCTCACAGTGCGCTCTCCTTCAAAACGCACTCGCAATTACTTCTGAACACCATCAAAACTTCAACATGGTACCTGTAGGATCAGCACTTCTATTTACACATCTCGGTCCACTAGTGGGGTCACCATGAAACGCAAGGCTGAGATGCACAGACCAAATTTACACACGGCGGTTATCTAGCCTTGCCTCATGAAACAAACCACTCCTCCTCCTACATCAGATTCGTCTCATATGCACTCCTCAAAAAATGATGCCACTTATATGAATGAACTTCTCCTTCCCTCATATTCCCTTCATCCCATCCATTGATTTCCCAAAAAATCATCCCAACTCTCTTCTACAGAAATTTCCAGCCAAACTCCCTCAAAATGAATCAACCACGCCAAGGCGAAGAGCTCCCATGGGCTAAACCCCTCAGCATAGATCTCCTGCACAAAGTGCTCCAAGTAACTTTTCTGCACCCTTTCGTCGCCTGGATGATCCCCCTTTGTATGCGCGCCCAAGCAATGCCCTGGCATCATCAAGCCATTCAGTATGCTATTGGCTATGCTTCTCTTCTCACCATGTTATATTTCCTTTCCATCCTCAATCGTCAAATCGCATACTCTAAAGCCCGAGAAGTAGATCTTTCGGAGGAAGTTATAGTGATTACAGGCGGCGCAAGCGGATTGGGATTGCTAGTTGCAGAAGTATATGGCATGCGCGGCGCGACGGTTGCGGTGTTAGATGTGAGAGATTTGGAGAGCGGAGAGGCGAGGGGAGTGAGTTATTATAAGTGTGATGTTGGAAATCGAGAGGAGGTTGCTAGAGTGGCTGTGGAGATTGAACGTGATGTGAGTATTCCTGCCTGTTTGAAGAATAACATGAAACTGATACATGGTAAATAGCTCGGCACCCCTACAATCCTCATCAATAATGCGGCGATTGTAAACGGCAAATCGCTTATGGATCTATCTCTCGATGAAATAGAACAGAATTTCAAAGTAAACCTCCTAGGAAGTTTCTACACTCTCAAAGCCTTCCTTCCAGGCCTCATCCGCACCGGTCACGGTACTATCGTAACTATGTCCAGCGTCCTAGGTCATCTAGGAGCCGCCCAACTCAGCGACTACAGTGCTTCCAAAGCCGGTCTCACTGCGCTGCACCACTCCCTAACTGCAGAACTCAAAGCCTATCCTAATATCAAAACGGTATTAGTCGAGCCAGGCCAATTGAGCACGCCGTTGTTTTCCGGAACCGTAACGCCGAATAGTTTTTTCGCGCCGGTACTGGAACCGGTTGATGTGGCGAGGGAAATCATCGCGACGATCGATAAGGGCAGTAGTGCGGTGTTGGCTATGCCATTGTATGCGAGATGGGTGGGATGGATGGGGGTTTTACCTGTGGGAGTGCAGGCGATTGCTAGGAGGGTTAGTGGGATCGATGGGGCGATGAAGACATTTGAGGGGAGGAGGGAGGGAAGTAAGGAGAAGGAAAGTTTGATTTAGGTGGAGAGTTTTGATGCTGGCATCGGATCTGTATGGACTGGTAGGGAATTAGAGGTATAATATGAATGGATGAGATTGGATGGGATGGGATGGGACGATTTATAATGACATCTAAGAATCGACATTACTCTATGGTATCACTGGGGTTCGTGGAATGATCACATATGATCTGATGAAATTTTATATCAAATTAAATACACACATGCTACGAGTAGTTATTCCGAATTACCTAACTCTTATTACTGAGATCACAACCAAACATTCTACACCCAAGATGACTATCAATGGTACAAATAAAGCCCTCATCTGATTTCAATTCACATCTATCCTTTCACATCACATGATCACAAAAGCATTTCAGTAAAAGGAGAAGCACCATATCAAGTATACAAGCAACCGTCATCGCTCTCACAAATTTCCATCTACACCCAGTAAGCCTACATCCTAAAATCATTGTACAAATCAACCCAACTACCTAGATACATAACTACACCAGTCCCCCCCCTTTCGAGGTTCTGACAACACTCAATCCTCCTTATCCCATGGACATATATATCTATATTCATACTTAACCCACATTTCCTCATCCCAATTCCATCATACATTTCCCAAAAGGAAACGAAGTATTTACTTCTTCATCCAAGATTCTATTTCCACCCCCTCCAATCCCGATCTCTACACATCTCCCCCACCAATCCACCAATCACCAATCCAGCCTAAATCAACCTGCCACATATAAATCAACCCTCCATCCTTCATTCCTCACCACTCACCCTCTACTCCGTAAATTCCAAACCCCCACCAAATCCACAACTCAAAATCAGATTCACACCACACCTCCCCATCCTACAATCTCCTTCCTCCAGAGCACATAGCATAAAGCATCACATAGCATAAGCTACATACAGCAAAGCTCGAAATGCTTCTAGAGTGTATAATAATAATAGAACTGTGACGCCGTGGATCAGAGACCCAGGATTATCTATTGAAGAATCTCTTTTTCCCTTGTGGTTTGTGGTTTGTGGTTTGTGGAGTTTTAGGAGATGAGATGGTGTTGTAATTTCTTGGCTGAGTATGTCTCTGTATTCTTTGAGAGGGAGGTCTTTCTAGATGGAAATTAATATTGTTACTACTACAACTACTACCTAGATACAGAGCATATAACCTCATTTCTGCGATTTCCACTCCATCATACAAATTGCGAGTATATTATACTAATAATACATGAAGAGATAGTAGGATATGTAGTAGTAAATTCATAATCGATTCGATCTATATAGCTATGCTAAGACCATGCGATGCGCCTGTATCTGTGTCTAATTGAATGAAGTAGATAGGAAAAATATATAAAAATCTACCCCCCCCCCCGGTGTATAGCAGAATATGTAGAAGGAGATTTATAATTGATATCTATATCTATATGTAATATATAATATCTAATTTCCCTATACTCACTCAGCCTAGGAATACGAAAGATGTGATGCTCCTTTTTTTTTCAAAAAAAAAATGAGTGATGGGAGTGAGGATATATGGAGAAGGATAGAAAGATAAAAAGAACTTCAGCTATTTAAGATTTTCTTGCTCAACTTTATTACATATACTATTATAGTGTTTGAATATCTATTTAGTCCACGGTATTATACAAATCTCAGAGTTTAGATTTAATGCTTATTTAATATTGATTGAATTTAATAATCGAGCATGAAATGAAATATATATTGTAGACCTCGAATGAAGAACTTGTAATGATTACCTAGACCCCGGGGTACCTAGATAAGTTGGAAATGTATTATCAGACGGAAGACTTGAGATGAGAAGACTTGAGAAGACTTGAGATGAGAAGACTTGAGATGAGAAGACTTGAGATGAGAAGACTTGAGATGAGAAGACTTGAGAAGAGATGAGATAAGATCAAAGAACCAGAAACCAGATTCTTTTTTTCAATCTTTAGGTACCTATTGCTTACTCGCTACCTACCTAGGTATTTCCTCCAGTTCGTCTATTTCGTCTCTAACACATACCTACCTAGGTAGCGAGAGAAGATAAAGATACATATAAATATAACAAATAAGATAACGAATATATTGCGGAGAGGATGGAAGAACAACATGTAAGAAGGAGGGGAGAAAATCAACTCCTTCATTTCTGAATTATAGGATGTTATTTAACTTTGTAATCTTACGTTAGAGCTTTGTACTCCGTATATAAACTTGAGATGAAAGAGGGGGAGCGGCTTGGAGAATTGGAGAGTATAGGTTTCTGGTTTAAAGTAGTAGATTTGATTTGATATGCTGTACTATACTATGCTATACTATACTATACTATGCTA